TTACTGTCTCATTAATCACTGTCAAAGTTTGCCATCTGGTTCTTTACACTGTTAGCTTTATCATGAATCCTTGACTTGTTAAGAAAATTAAATTCTTTTTTATCTTGCCAAATCTCAATTCTCCGCTATTTTCTGGGGACTGCGAAAAGTTTACAATTGCTACATTACCATTCGTCGTCTTAGCATCTGTTGGCAAAGTAAATGATAACAATCCTCTCACCCATATCAAGACAATGCCAAAATTTTATAATTACCACATTGCTTCTCTTCGCCTGTATCCAAGAAAAGAAATTAAACGATATCTTGGAAAGATAATTAACATTGAATCTTCCTGCCTGTATCGGCACATGTTTTGGCTGATAATTCCATAATTGCCTTTCTTTCTATCTCCCTCGGTGATAACTCGACAGGACAAGACCTCACACATGGCTTCTTCCATGGGCTATTTTTGTAAACAAATTAAAATCTTCTTTTAACGTCAACGAGTCTATCTTTCATTATAGCTCCTTTTTTTTTCGCTTTAAGAATGTCTATTTTCTGTTTTAATTTCTATGGTTAATTAGTTAGCCAATTACCATAGCTAAATAGTGTCACAATAGGACAAGAACAGTGTGGGTTTGTTAAAGACACTGGAACAAGGAATGCATGATATTTATGCTCAGAATGATATCAGAAAGAGCAATACAAATGCAAAATACATATGTTTTATAGATTCTGCAGAAGCAATTGAAAAAGTATGTCACAAGAACTGCTGGACCAACTATGTAACCTTGACATGTGGAAAGGATATTAGAATAATCCAGAACCTATACTAGCAGCAAACCACCTGCATACAGCTAGGAAAAGATTTCAGTAAATACATAAAAATAAAATGTGGTGTAAGACAAGGTTGTGGCTTCTTACCAGACTGTTACAATATGCATAGTGAGGCTGTTCTGTGAGAATTAGAGGTCCTACCAGGATTCATTATTGGTGACTACAATCTTAACAACATAAGATAAGAAGATGACACAATGTTGATAGCAGACACAGATAGGAAACTACAAGAACTCCTACAGAAGGTAGTAAATGAAAGCAAAAGGAAACAACTAAACATCAATTGCAAAAAGACTGAATGCAAGGTGGTTAGCAAAAGGAACAGCCCAACAAATTACAAATTGGAGATATTAAAACCAAACCAGTGCAACAATTTAGATATCTGGGAAGCATATTAACAGAGGACAGAAAGTGTGACATCGAAATCCAAAGGTGTATTGGGATAGCAAAAAATGTCTTCCAAAAACTGAGCAAAGTATTAAGAAACCAGAAAAATTTCATTAAAAACAAAGAAAAGAGTACTGAACTGTTATGTAATATCAATCCTCCGATATGACAGTGAATACTGAACATTCTGCACACAGACGAAAAAGAGACTTGAGGCAACAAAAATGGGGTTCTACAGGAAGATGCTGAGAATACCATGGACTGAGCTTGTGAGCAACGACAATGTTCTAGAGACAATGGCAACAAAAAGGACATTTATACTTAACACCAGGAAGAGATAGTCGAAATTTCTGGGGCACATAATGAGTAAAGAGGGCTTGGAAAATTTTGTAATCTTTTCTTGTAAGATAGCCTGCTATATACAAAAAGGGCATTTTAATCCCTTTAAAGATTCTAGTTTCACAATGTTTATCAAATGTTTAGTATGCTATTTCAGCCAGCAAATATCTATATTTTGAGCAATTATGATCTGGAGTTGTATTCTTTAACATCAATATTCAACTTGAAAAGTAATTTAATTTTTTCAATATGAAATTTTTTGATAACATTTTGTATTATAAAATCTGCATATAATTTTTTACATTATGTTTTTAAGAATATTGGTAAAAATATTAAGTTAAATTTATTGAATTTAATTATGATTTAACTTTATGACAAAATTCTTAATTACATTTTACATTAATTTCACAATACAAAAAGTTACATATTTTGTCTATTTACAGAGGATGGTAAAATTAAAATTCAATGTACTTTTTAAAAAAAGTTAAAACATAACTTATTCATAGAAAAAATAAATTTACTAATCATTGTTGTTATAGAGAAAAATATTAACTTTGTGACAAAATTCTTGATAATGGCATTTTTTTTTTTAGTGAGTTTCACAGTTTAACTCTTTTACTAAACCACAGAAATGTAGGCAAAAATAAATGTGATAGTGTAATCTCTTTTACATTTTTGTGGCTTATTTTAAAGAATACTTCTAAAATATCAACTTAAATTTACAGAATTTACTTATGACATTAACTTTGTGATGAAATCATTAATAAATAACATTTTTCATTAATTTCATAGTGCAAAAATTTACATTTTTGTCTTCTACAAAGAACAGTAAAATTAAAATTCAACATTTTTTAAATACCTTAGAAAATTACAAATTATTCAGTAAAAAATTAAATTTTATAATCAGCGTTTTCATTGTTATGAAAAAACAATATGAAAGAGGAAAATATTAAATTTACAGTAAAATTTTTAACAATGACACTTTTTTTTAAAATTTCACACTGAATTTTTTTATATATATATATATATATATATAGGGTTATATATATATATATATATATATATATATATATATATAATAAAGATAATATTAAAATACTGCAGGTCCAAAGTTACTTCAGTGTTTAAATAATAAATGTAAATTACTCAAAGGGTAAAAATAAATATTTATTTTTAAAGACTAAATTGTTTATGGTGATTCAGCAACAGATTTTCATTAAGATCTGTGTATGCTTTCCTGGCCTGTCTAAGTATCATCTTGGTCTGAATGTTACACCCACTGGTGGTCACAGCGCCAATATGTGACATCCTCTCATCGCGACGCCAATATGTGACACTGCGCTGTCGGCCCATGGTTAACTCCCAGTTGCAGCGCGAAGCTGTAAGGTTTCTTCCACCGGCGTTTGGGGTTGACTCCTTGTCGCTGCCACCAGCCTGTGTCCCAGTTGATCTGGTCGTTTCCGGTTTGATACCAGCTTTGTCGTTCCCAGCTCACTTCCAACGTCTGGTTACCGAAGTAACTACTTTGATCTCGAGTCTAACCTACCCATGTTGTGACTTTGATCTTAGGTAGATGAAATCAATCAGGCGTCAGGCCATAGTGCAAGCTGAATCTGGGGTGAAGGTGATATCATACAAGCATAAGTAAAAGAAGCAATAAAACAAACTCAAGAGGTTCAAATATGTTGAGAAATAACAAATTATCTTTATTCATCTGTTATATACAGGAGTGTGTTTCTCTCCCAGCCTGTTTCTATGGATTTGTGACACTTTTGCGTTTCTTAAGCAAGTTTAGGTATCTTAAGTCCTTAGTCAATATGATTTGCTTTTGGTAGGAAGTCGAAAGGACATGGAATTCCTCAGTCAGCTTCTGCAAGGCAACACTCTGACTCTGTCCAGAACTTAACTCTAACTCCAACTGCGAATCAACTGCTAAACTGCCCAGGGGCGTTCATTTATATGGGTACCAACCAAAACCCAATGTGGGGCCTGACATGGTTTGCGTTCCTCGATAATTCTTGATTCCCAACAAGAATTCTCTTTGTTCTTAGGCCAGGAAAATTAATTGCTTTCCATTTTGGGGGTTTCTCCCTTTGTCTGTGAGGGAAGGTCAGAGGAGAGTTATCCTCCTAGACTCTTCCTCTCTCACATTGGTATCTCATACCAATCCTCTCAGTGGATGTTAACAATTTCTCCGCCTTTCTCATACATTCACCTCCGCCTATCACCCATGCTACCACTTGACCAATGATCTTTTGGCAGTGTGGGTGTGGCTAGACTGGCCCTCTTAAAATTATTATCTAGAATTTTGTTTTTACAAAACCTTTTTTTTCTTTTTTCCATCGGCCAAAACATTTTCTTTCACAAACCCCAGATTACCAAATAATTCTTATCACATCTTTCTTTTGGGGACACCCAAAATTCACTTAGTCAGGTCTCTTTACCGACTCATCAATCACTGTCAAAACCCGACATCTGGCTTCTCTGCTAAGTCAACTTTTAACTGGGGGGTCCGTATTTTACCTGAGAATCAAATTCTTTATTTTTCTCATACCTTAAAATCCTTTTATCACCAGATGCCTATTTTTGATGACGCTGTGTCTGATGTCAACATTTTGAAAAAGTAATAATACGATTTTCTTCCTCATGCCAGAAATTTTTTATGACCGCCATGTGTCAGCCAACTTTGTTTTTCTTTCTGAATTCTGTTTTCCTTGGCGCGTCATCCCCTTACCATGACATTAATCAGTTTTGACAGAATCTCATATCTCGCTTTTTCTTACGGATTTTTTTGTCTCGTGCGAAAGGTATCTTTCTTCGTAAATAAAATAAAATCTTCTTTTTAACGTCACTCAGTCTATCTTTCGATATAGCTCTTTCTCACCTTAAGTCTTTCCTGTTTTTAATTTCTATGGTTAATTAGTTAGCCAATTACCATAGCTAAATAGTGTCACATGAAGCAAAAGTTGTAAAAAGATCAGAAATGCAAGTGTAGAAGAGTGCTGTGTTAGCAATAATTATATTTCTGTTTCAGAACAGTGCCTGACCCCCAGAGTCAATAAAGAGTTTGCTGGGAGCATTACTGAACATGCATTCCAGCAGTACATACAGATCTGCATTTAAGCATTTTATATATATTAATAAAATTCAATTATAGGTACACCACCAATTTTCTAGTAGCCTTAGTTCCACAACACTGATGAATTATGTTTTTCCAAATTACCAAAAGTCTTGTAATCATAACCATTCAGTAATAACTACCTATCCACTAGTTATGCATATCTTATATCTTTGACTGTTAGAAATTTCAAATGCTTGCTCATAATTTTGTCCAGATTAAAAGTTGTCAGAAAATCAGTGGTGCATTTTTATATCATTAAGCTAAATCATTTTTTTTTTATAATGAAAAGAGAAAAATCTCTTAAATTTATCTCTAATATTTTTTTTGTCTTTTCCAGAGGCTGGCCGGTTGCATATTGTGATGACATATTGTGAAGGAGGTACATTAATGCATATCAAAGAATTTTGTTTTGTTTTTGTTCCATTTTTATTTATTTAATTATTTTTGTAAGAAAATTTAACATAACTGATTATGTAGTAATGTTAATTAAGATTCTATTGTATGTCCTCTGTATAGGTTCATCAATAAACTTGTAACTTAATAATGAAATAAATGTATGTTGTACAGAGTGTGGCAGAAATATAAATACCTCCTACAATGTTACCAGTATGTGGGAGGTATTTCTGTTACACCATGTATAAAATATTTTTCAATATAATCTCCTTCCTTAACCAAATATTTTGTTAATCATATAGATTAAACATATTTTCAGATCAAAATTCAGTTAATAGCAATATCACGCTATTGATTTATTGACCGATCCTTGTATCTAATCATAAAAATTTGTAATTTTCAAATATGTAAAGTAAAACTATTATAAAAAACAGATTTAATCAAAAAAATATATTTTCTATCTGTTCACATTTTTCCATAGTGCAATAATTACCTCTAAAGCCTCAAGTATTTATGTTATGTTCTTACGTTAAATTTTATTATGTCAATGTTTCCACAATAAAAATTGTATTAATCCAATGATGGTTTAATTTTCAAGATATACTTTTATTTCAATATAAACTGTGAATTTCAGCTCATAATATTTCTTTTTATCATAATTATTCACAATAACTTATTTAGTAATGTAAGACTTTATTATGCAACTCTAGGGTTATTCATTATATTGTAAATAAATATAGTAATATAAATATTGATATTTATTTTTAAATTTCAGATATATAAAGATTGCTACGGATCATAAAAAAGATATAAACTAAAAAGAGAAACAAGGTATTGTAAAGTTATTGAGTGATGGGAACACTTGGAAATTGTGAAAAGTTTGAACAGATCAAAAAATAAAAAAAAATATAGATATAAAAAAAGTTACAAAGTAGAAGAAAAGTAGATTGACAGACAAAAAGATATTTGAAGAAACTGGCATTGCAAATGTAAACTGAGAGAAAAGTTGCAGAATATTAAGAACATTTAAAATCACGAAATTAACCAACGTACTGTATTCACAAAGACAATCATGGAAGTTGAGCAAACAAGTACATGAAAACCAATTTTTCAATATTAAATTTTAGTGATGAACATTGAACTACATTGAATGGACTTGATGACTGGGCTAGAATTTGTGCCCTTCATGGAAATAGTCATCAACAGGACTTAGAAGATAACAAGGAAGAGGTGAACTAATGCTTTTGACTATTATTATAGGCTGTAAAATTATCAGACTTTTCAAAGTTGATGTTTTTTGTTTTTTTTTACAATGAAGGTCATAAGAGCCACTTGAGGTAGAGTGTTACAGAGTAAGAGGCAAATTTTAGACAGATATGTGGTGAAGATAAGTTAGCCCTAGACTTGATCAGGTTTAGATTGTAGTGATTGGGGAAGCATCCTCTTGGGAGTCAGTGCCACAAAGCAGCAGTTCATGGAAAGAAGCTGCTCAAGTGGAACTTACATCTCACCAATGTAATATGAAGGGTATGTGAGTGATTTTCACCAATGTGTGTGGCATGGCAGGTCTTACCTGTGAAGATTAGAACTGGTCGAACTAAGGAATGTAGTTAGTCTGAACACTTTCCATGGAAATATCAATAGTGTAGTGAGAGGTTTGCAATGTTTTGTCTGTTGGGTAGAAAATAATTCTTCACCCACAAGGACACAGAGATGCTTTTGGACTCTATTGAAAGACTGGGCAGCTTCTGCTCAGATATGGCACCAGGACTCCATTTTCAGTCTGATCTTATAGAGAATAGCAGGAGGAGTCAGGTACTTACTGGAGCAATACAGGAAACTGACCATTTTCCCAGTATCTTTAGTGATGGACTGTATGTACAAGTTTCACTTGAGATTTGTGTTCAGTTTGTTTGTCCTGATAGGCACTGAAGGAACAGGGCCTCCTTGAGAGAACACCAGTTTATTGCAATAAGTGGAAATTCAAGGTCTGCTCAGTGATGGTTGAAATAAATGAAGTGGATTATTGTAAGTTATCATTGAATAGTAGAGGCTACAAGCAAGAAGCTTTAAACTCCAGAGTTTATTTATGCAAATCAATGCTCTTTCACATTCTGAAAAGCAGTCTTTCCAAAAAAAGGTTTCAAAGATACCAAATTAAATATCTAATAGAAAACTTGCAGTCTATCTTTAAGAAATGCATTTAAGAATGAAAAATCAAGCAATGGAGATCATTATGAAGTAATAAAAACTGCTGCAAGTAACATGAAAGTTGAAACAGTAGAAAATTTGAAGGAACTAACAGTGGCATGTAAATAATTATTCATTCAGATATATGGGATATTGTCTTAAATAAATATGTTCTCATGGTATATACATTTAAAATTTATTCATAAATAAAAATTTATATTGTATTTAGTTTGTTTGCATAATAAAATCTGACATTCCCCTTAAGACTAGTTATTATCAATATTTTTAGTAAGAGGTATTATAAGCTGAAACTCACATTTTTTATTGCTCATATACAGCACCAAGCAAAAGTCTTTGGTCACTTTTAACTATTGTAAATTTCTAATAATTACCAGCTTATAAGTTTCACATTACATCAGTTTTCCTGGGTGCTTGATCTTGATAATCTTTCATAACTACCTTGGCAAGTTGGCATAGTACACTACATTGATGGTGTGATCCTTTTGAAGACAGTCAATAAACACAATGCCTTTTGCATCCTACAAAACTGAGGCAATCACTTTCTCTGCAGATGAAATGGCATTCTTTGGAGCATCAAAAGAGGGATTCTCTGGCTGTGATGAACCCAACACTTATCCTGGGTTAGGAAATGTTCATGGAAACCTGCTGGATGTCAGATTTTCCCATAATGTATTCAATCTGGTGCACTTTTGATCAAGTGCCAGAAAACATGGCACCCACTAAGCAGAAACTTTCATCATGCCAAGTTCATTGGGCAGAATGTTCTCAACTCTCTCATGGGATATGTTGGTAACATTGGCTATTTGATTTATAGTCAATCACTTGTCATCCATCCCCATGTGGTAAACACAATCAATGTTTTCCTCAGTGGTGGCAGTTACAGGACGTCCAGACCTTGAGTCATCTTCAAGACTCTCCCTCCCCCTCCTAAAAACAGCAGCCCACTTTTGCACTGTTGATAAACCTTCAGCACCATTCCATAATGTAGAAACCATGTCAGCAAGAATGTCCTTGGGGGCTAAACCCTTTTTCTGTAGGTACTTGATAACACCATGATGTCAAATTTTGTCCACTTTTGCTACAAGTTACTTTTGAACTGTCATATGTCAGTTTATCTGGAAATAAACAATGCAATTGTTAATAAGTGTTGAAATTAATGCATGCAAGATTTCACTCCTTCATAGTCAGCCTATGAACTTTTCAGCCACTCTTTATATATTAGATATCATGGATAGGATTCATTATATAAATATTAATGCTGTCCCATAATTGTTAACATTTAGTGTATGAAATTTGCACATGTAACAACTATTATTGGATATAAGAAGCACATCTAAACTTTCATTTACTCTAATCATTACATATATGGTAACAAAGCAAATGCTAAAAAGTATTAAGGGGATACCAAAATTTCCCCTACTATATTTGGTATGTAAACAGATATCACAAATAAGTTGAAAAAAATTGATCATTTAATAATAATTTATCTTCTGGTAGAAAACTTATGTAAAAATATCAACTTCAGAGACATGCCTCATTGCCACAAAGGTACACAGTATACATTTTGCACTTTCCACTACTGACAAAAGAATTTCTAATAGCTTACTCCTGTGGAATGTTCAGCTTACATTTTTCAAATGCACACACATGTTATAGAGTTCTACATTTCTCCTGTCAATATCCTAGAATCTCTCTTGTATGCAATTCATAACCTTCTGCAAATAAGTAGAGCTGATTTTATGTTAAATCTTTCTCATATAGAAAAGAGAGCAACACAAAGAAATTTAATGATTTGTTTCTTGTTTTCTAACTTCTTTATTTTCAGGTGATCTATACAGCAAGATAAATGATCAGCGAGGAGTAGATTTCTCAGAAGAACAGGTAAGGTTGACCAATATTTACTACTCTTTACTAATCCAAAATGTTTTTAAGAAAAAAAGTTTAAAAAAGCACTGAATTTATTTAAATTTAATTTTTTTTTTGTATATTTCACCTTGTGGAATTATGTAAAGAAACTTGGTATATATTTTTATTTATTTTCACACACACACACATATAATCACTTTTAATTATTTTTACTGGATACTCATATTTGGGTAGACACTATGTTTATTTATTAAAAAATATATTTATTTTTGTCTACCAGCCTTAAAATTCAAGAAATCTTATTAAAGAAAAATATGCACTCTCGAGCAGGATTCAAACCTGTGTCACTCTTTACAGGATTGGCTATCCCTACCATGGAGAATACACACATGCCAGAGATCTCCAGCTCTTTCTTGTTCTTGAACACCAAGAACTTGGCCACTTTCAAGAAGCTCAATATCTCTTTAGTTGTTTTTAGTGTCTGGAGCATGGAATGTCTTTCTATTTCCTGAATCAGATTGGAAAATTTTGTGTTAATGCTCTTGATATGTCTCAAAGAGAAATGTGAATGTTAAAATTTGGTACATTTGGTCCCTTTCCACTTATGATCCACTAAATATTGTTTCACAAATACCTGGCACATTCTTTATATTTCTTTATTATTTTTGTAGATTTTGGATTGGTTTGTTCAGATATGCTTGGGGGTAAAACATATACATGACCGGAAGGTGTTACATCGTGATATAAAATCTCAGGTAAGAATTTGATAATGGTAAATTGTTCTTTTTTTTTTTTATAATGACAGCTCAATATAGCCTGTGCTCTAACACAATTATTAGCTAATTCTGAATTCAAAATTTTCACTGCATAATGTTTTATCTAAGTGATCAGTGGAGAGGCATTAAATTAAGTGCATTGACATGGAAGAAGATTCTTGAAAAATAAATTTCTTGTGGAAAATAAATGCTTTAAATCATGTGGTAACAGTTAATGATTTACCTTTTGTATGTCAGTATAAACTTAAAGAAAAGTAAGCAAATGAAAAAAATGCCTTTTTAAAAAATGTATGAATGTTGAAATTTGCAATAAGAATGCTTATAGCCATATCAGGTTGAAACACCTGTTCCCATATGGTTACTAAAATTAAGCAATGTCAATCCTAGTCAGTACCTTTTAGCATCTTTGCAATGTCAGCAGTATCTTGTAAATCTAGGGTGGCCATTATTCTTTGAGAATGAATCCAAATTGCTTTTTATCACACTCTTCAAATTTCTTAGATGAAGTATTGTCAAATATTAATTTTTAAGGAATTTTTTTTTTAATCAATTATCATTTTGTTATGATGTTAATTTGGGGTTAATAAAGACAAACGCCAAATAACATGTAACAATAAAATGGGGTTTATTCGGTTGGTAAGTTGGTACAAAAATTGCCTGAGTAGTCTATAACTAACTCAGCCCAGAACTTCTCCGACACTCTTTTGACATGCCACTATTTAACGTCCTTGTTTGTAGACGAGTTCATCTTCAAGAGGGGTGGTAGGTTCCTACACAACACCTCCCCCTTGAGATTAATTCGGAGGAATTAATATATTTTCCTTTTGGGATCTGGACTTAAACGTTTCCACCCTAGTTCTTTTTTTTTGCTTGTCCTTCTTTGAACAACTGTTTCAGGCAATGGTGGAGTCGGTATATCAAATAAATCATATAATACCTCCATTGGTTCTTCCTTTTCTTCACTTATTTCTTCGATGATTCTTTTCCTTAATTGGTTCAAATGTCTTTTGTGCGTCCATTTTTTGCTTGGAGATAGGCATCCGATAAATCCAATTTAGAGAATATTTTTCCTCTACTTGCAAAAACGTCTTCTGGTGAAAGGCAAAGGATATGTGTGGTCTTTTAAGCAATCATTTAAACCCATAGAAAAATCGGCACACATCCGAATTTTATTATTTTTTTTCTTAACATATACAACAGGGCAGGCCCACTCTGAAAATTCAATGCGTGAAATAACTCCTAAATTTTCAAGCCGTTCCCATTCTTTGTTAATCTGTTCCACAACACCAAATGGCACATTTCTTTTTCGCTTGAAAATAGGTTTTACATTTTCCTTCACTTCAAATTTTGCCTTCGCCTTTTTGCAACATCCCAGACCTTCTGAAAATACTTGTGGAAATTTTATTTTCAGATCTTTCAAATTTTCTGTAACCCGATTTTTACACGGAGAAGAAACATTAATTCTATTGCAAAAAGAATTTATAGGGAGTTTCCATAAATTAAAAATTATAATCCAATCTGTTCCAAACAAATTTGAAACATTTTGTAGCACATACACTTTAGACTTTAGTGTCTTACCAACAAATGAAATATTACAAGAAAATTCACCTTGAAAATGCAATTTTCTTCCAGAAATCCCATGAGCCACTTTTTTCAGTCTTTTAAGCAAAAGGTCTGCCTATTTTAATCCATGTTGCTGTATTAATAATGGAAATATCACTTCCAGTATCTAGCTGTAGTTTAACATTTTTTCCATTAAATTTTACTTGTAACGAATTTTCTTTTCTGCCCTCCTCAATCTCCTGACGTGACAACACAATATTCACAATATCTTTTTTTCGACTTAATTTTTTTTCTTTTGCTTTTTTACAATGAGTACTTATATGGCCTTTATTGCCACATGAATAGCAATTTTGTCGCGAAAAAAACATTCACTTTTAAAATGACCACCACCGCATCCAAAGCACGTTGGTTTTTTAACGTTTTTTATTAACTATTCCCGTTTTTTGGTCGAATAGCATGGATACGGGATACGTCTTTTTTCTTCAATTTTGCGTATTGTCATGTTTTAAATTTTCAATTCTTTGACACTCTTCCGTAACCTTCTGCAAAGTAATCTCGAATTTTGTTCGAAGTTTTGCCAATATTCGGGACCTTATGTCCTTATCTTTGCTAGAAGTCAAGCCTTGAACGAATATCAAACATTTAAATCGATCAATTGAAAGATCATGTAACATAAAATGTTCACACATTCTGTTAACATTTCCAGCATACGTAACAATATCCTCATCGTCACGCTTTTACCATATTCAAACACGAAACGAGTATGAAACAAACTAACTTGCTCGCCAAAAAAATACTAGATAAAGTATTAACAGTTTCTTGAAAAGAAATGTCACTAGTTTTTCTTGGAAGGACAAAATTTGTATACTTATTATTTTCATCTGTACCCAACTTTTGTAAAAGTAAACTCACTTTTTGTTCATCAGTCCAACCTTCACATTTTTTTTCAAATATTGTTTCAAATCTTCTGAAATACGCAGGAAATGTTATACCCTCCTCTGGGTTAAATTTGAACTCAGTAATAGAATTAGCAATACCTTCGGCCGTGAATGACGAATTTACTGGATTCTTTAGTAAAATTGCTTCAAATAAAGCCTTTGTGTCATTTCGCTGCTGAACTTGTAAATCCAATAGTTGTTCCCGAAACAATTTTTGTTGCTCTTGTTGCAATCTTTGTTGCTCTTGTTGCTGAATTTGATTTTGCACTAGAGTTTTCGTTAATGCAATCAAATCTTCCATTATGCGTAATAGATTACACAAAACACTTTTCGAAAACAGTCAAAAAAGGGAAAAACACGTATATATCCAACAATAAGCACAAGTCTTACTTCTTTTTGGCACGTTGAAATCCTATTTCTTCTTGAAGAACAAAGTTCGACGTATTGTTTTTTTTTTTTCTTTCTTTCAGTGCGAGAAAAAAAAAAATTATATAGTCCACCTAGAATTGAAAAATTCTCCACTCAGCGTGATGAATGAATCTCACGTCGCCACTGTTATGATGTTAATTTGGGGTTAATAAAGACAAACGCCAAATAACATGTAACAATAAAATGGGGTTTATTCGGTTGGTAAGTTGGTACAGAAATCGCCTGAGTAGTCTATAACTAACTCAGCCCAGAACTTCTCCGACACTCTTTTGACATGCCACTATTTAATGTCCTTGTTTGTAGATGAGTTCATCTTCAAGAGGGGTGGTAGGTTCCTACACAACACATTTATTGATAGTATGTGTGTAACCTTTAAGCTGTTTCAATGCGTCATTTCACTAAAACCAGTCTTAAAGTGGCAGACATACAATAACCTAAGTATTTTCATTAGCTGTCCTCATGATCTTGGAATGAATTCCCATTAATAAAGAATTTTACTCTGTCTTGTTTCTTTACCCATTGAGATATTCATTGACAAAAGTTCATTCCTATTACTGCCCAACTTAAAAGTTCATGCAAACAATCCAGTTGATATTGTGTTTACTTTGAAAATGGCAATAAGCATAATATCAGTGTATGCTTTTATGTTAGAACAGGTGTGCTTTTTATTTTTTATCATGCATAAAATGTAATGCTCTTTTCTTTATAGTATTGTCCCTATTACAATTAAGACATAATTTCATATTGTAGTTTTGGTCTCTTTTAAGCATCTCAATCTCAAAAGAGATTTTTTTTTTTTTTTTTTTTTAGTAGAAAATATCACTTTTTCCCCTATTAGTGTATGACCTACATATCACCAAGATATCTTGTCACTTGATTCAAGAAAAAGAAATTTTTCTCGGGATAACTCATCATCTGGTTCCAAAAAGTCAAATATAATCATAAATAACTATAATTTACTTGAATTAGCAATTTGTGTGTACATTTGTGTATTTCTGAAAATAACATGGATAATTGATATGAAGTGTGCTAATAGAAATATATACTTGACAAACACGGTGGATAAAGTAAGTAAAGGTTTATTGTAAAACCAGTACAATAAGAAATAAGGTAACAGTTATGAACACGATCGACGCAAGTCAATCCAGTAGTGAATGCTGCTATTGGAAGGTCGAAGGACGATAGTTCAAATATAAATAGTGTAAATAATGATTATTGACTTGTTTAAAAAAATCTCCAGTCTCTTAGTTATATTTCTCAAAATTTTATTTTTAAATTCTACCAGATTCTAAATTAAATAATAAATTCTCTTATTAGATTTTCCTTATAAATTGTTTAAGCAATATTCTAATAATTTTTTCTTTCTACCTGTTCTCTTTATTTGCTTTTTTTTTTTTTACAGAATATATTTTTAACCAAAGATGGAATGATTAAACTTGGAGATTTTGGGATAGCCAAGGTGCTCAACAGGTAATTAACTTTATAACTTTGACAAGAATCATTAACATTCCAAATTTTGTTAAGATAATTGAGCTCATCTTTCATATTCCTGACATTCTTACCACAACATTTCAATAATCCATTCTTCAATCTTTCTCAGGTACAATCTGTAATGAAAGAAGCAAAAACTTTTTCTTTGACAATAAAAGAGGCTCTTTTCTAACAAATTAAATACATGGCAAATGCTGAAGAAAGAATTGACTGAAAAATTGTATTAATGGTGGGAATACAAGGGAATTAAACTGTCTAAAGAATATTTGGAAAGATAAATAGAAATTTTAATTTATTTTTGATTTAATTGGTTTACTTGTAATCTTTGAGAATCACTTTAGTGCCTCTACATAATCTCTTTTCTTTCTCAAATCAACAAAAATCGCTGTTCTTATTTGGTGTTGTTTTTTTTTTTTTTTTAACTAGTTTTTCTTTCATCTTATTTTGCATTTTATAACAAAGTTCAGGGTTATTTACATTCTACAACCATTAAGTAAGCCGCATTGATCAGAAATAAGCAATAAGCTTTGACTGAGTGTTGAAACTTTGGAGCCTGCCTGACTAAGACAGTATCTTATCAATTAAGCTACAAAAGCTAACCAACAGACATTTAAATTTAATCAACTTAAATTTATTCTATTATGTAATTCTTTTCTTACTCCAAACTATATTGTTTTTTTTTTTCATTTAGTAGTAGTAGACTTAAGTCTTAAGCTGTCCAAATTTCTTAAATGAAAAATTATTATTATTCATTTGTATTTTTACTAGCTTTTCTTTCACCTGTTTTTCATCAAAATATTTAGCTAACTTTTATGACCTAGGCCTTTTAAGCATACAAATAGATTTGAAAATTACTTAATAACAATGCTTCATCTAAGAAATTTAAACAGAAAGATCTGTTTTATTAAAAACAATATAAACAGACTTCATATAATTCTGAATATTTGGCATGATTTATTGACTTTATTAATCATGAAATTACAAAAACAATAACAATAAAGTTGGGAATTCACTTATCAAGCTTATCATTTCAATATAAAGGAGAATTCACAAAGCGCAAAAATCACACACTTTAGTTTTATAATTCTTCTTTGAGTAAGATTTTGTTTCGTTAAATATGATCATTATAGTTTTTCTAAATGCAAATTTAGAGATCAGTTGAAATTCATTTTCTTTATTGTTTAATGCTAGTTTTGCTTGAATTCAAAACTATTCAACTATGCTAATATAAGGCCAAACAAATAGATGCCCAGCTACAGTGGAAAGTGTGTAAAGGAGGTACACAAGTTTTTCAAAATGGAAACAAACTGAACGTAGAATTTTATGCTGTTTTGAAGATAGTACTGAGAAGAGTTAAAACATTGAATGCTGTGTATTAAAAATGAATATACATACTCTTTTTTTTCTGTTTTTTTTTTTTTAATCTGATATTTCTAAATGAGATTTTGATACTTGAATCTGAAGCATTCTTATTGAATAAGTGAAAAATCTAAAAAAACTTATGGATGGCAATCATAAATTACTGGATGCAATATATGCCTGAGGAAAACTAAAAAATATATCATCCAAAATGTTATGATAAAAGCAACAAAAATGAGGAAAGTAAGCAAAATAATTCATGAAGCAGTGTTATATTTGTTTTTGAATGAAAACTGATATTGTTTGGTTGATTTTGTTTAGTGACATATCAACCTCTATGGGTTATTTAATGCCAATTATAAATATTTTGAATGCAATTTTATGGTTTTCAACTAAATATATTTTGATATAATGCCTTCAACTACAGATAAAATGTATTGTTGGTAATTCTACTATAAAATATATTGCTGGTCATTTTGCTTTAGAATTGGTAATTTTACTATAAATATGTATTGGAGGTAATTTTTTATATAAAAATGTATTACTGATATTTTTACTATAAAAATGTATTTTTATACTTTCATAGTGTTTAGTTTTTATTTGGGGGTCCACTATCTACCCATAGATGGGACCCTAACAGGTGCTACCACCCTGAGTAAGTGTGCCTCTGGGAACAACAGCAATTAAGAGGTGGTTCCATGCTCCTCAAAACCTCCAATCTCCCAATCTGAGGCCTTGCTGCTGGATTTCGTTTATTATCATATCAAGGACTAGAAAACTGATATTGATATATATTCCAGAACTTTATCTTGTTATATATTAATAATTTGATTTTACATTTTCTTTATAATTTCTGCTAATATTCTTGGATACTTTTTATATCTTTTTAATTTTTAATCTATCATTAGAAAAAAAAACTTACATAAATACAAAAATAAAATAATTTTTGTTTTTGAATCCTAAATCTGTTTTGCAATATATCAATATTTGCCCAGTGTTCTACTAATATAGAATGTAATTATCTTTCTAGTACATGCGATATGGCAAAGACATGTATTGGCACACCATTTTACCTTTCTCCAGAGATTTGTGAGCAACAGCCATATAATAACAAAAGGTTTGTCAATTCATTTACATCTTAGATTGTTTTGTTTTTTTTTTTAAATTTATTGTCTTTTCTATTGTAAAGTTTAAAAAAAACAATAACTTATACAGAATATATTTAATTTTTCTGGCACAAACTAAATGAGAGGAAATGGAGGTAGAAAGATTTTGTGTTAACCTTCTAAGTAGAGAGAGCCTGTGTGTTTTGAAAAACATTTGAAATGCTAACTGGGCTTGAACACTGAATACCAGCACCAGTAAGAAATACACATCTGACTCAGCCATGCAACAAGCCTCAGCAATAAATTGGCATGTGCTTGGATTAGAGTGAGCTATAGAAAAAGAAAAAAACTAGATACCAGTGTACAAGGGAACCAATTGAGTCATTGATCTGAAGATGTATTCTGAGTTTAGTGAGGCAGGATAAGTAGTTCTCTTATTAATAATACAATTCAACTGCTGAAAGTTGCCTTGGAAACCAAGTGAAAGGCTAAAAATAATTGGGTCAAATTTGTCCATAAAAAGTATTATAAGCATATGGAAGAAAATGAATGTATGTGGAAAATTAAAAAAAGAATTTGGCAACAAAAATAGTGATGTTATAAAATAATTTATAGTTGATTTCTTTAAACAATTATGAAGGACAAAAATGAAAATACTTATTCAAATTTTTTCATAGCAAGTACTGGTTTATGGCAAAGACGTGTATTAGCACTTTTGCCTATTTTGTGTTCAAAAATAAATTATAATTATAGATATGCTGACATATTGTATTTTCTAGATATTTTATGATGGTTGATGTAATAGTATCAGTAATTAAAACAATGTGTTTTTCATTTAATTAATTCTAAAAGAAAATAATTTGCCTCCACCTATTTTTTGATAGGATAGGTTGGAATAAATAAACAGATTTATTTTTTTAACACCTTTTATTTTTTCACCTTTTAGCTCTTGGAACCTTAATGACATAAATTCTAAAGTAAAAGACAAATTTGTAACATAAGATGTTTCTTTTTGACCATTTAAGATAGTTCTTTTGTGTAATTGCTGATTTTCTGTTCTACAAACTATTGAGGAAAATATAAATCAATAACTTCTTTCTAGTGACATCTGGTCAATGGGTTGTGTGCTGTATGAATTGACCAACTTAAGGCATCCAGTAAGTATTCAAATCCATTCATTATTCCTTCTTTCCTTTCTGTTTATATTATTATAACAAGTATTAGACTTATCTCTTATCTTCTGTCTCTTCCTTTTTGTCTTTTCCCTCCTCCAACTCCTAATTCTTTTTTACATGCATCCTTGCATCTTAGAAAAATTATCTCATGCCAAATAATTTTTAGACAAAACAGTGGCAATGGAAATGAACTTTTTTTTTATTTTTTCTCTCGGTTTCTGTTTCATTAAAAAGTTTGTTTAATTTATTGTACCATAGAAATAAAGATGTGAAAAGATTAAAAAAAAAATGAAGATGGAGACCCTGGGAAATTGGAGGTTGGGGTAAGAATTGCACTCTCCTGAAAAACATAATTTGAAAGTCATTAAGTATTGATACTCTAAATGGAAAAATAAATATTATTGACTTTAAATCTGAAGACAATTCAAATATTTGGTTCTTGAAATCTGCTTTCTTATTTTACCTTTGGAAATACAAGAAAGATGAAAGTTGTCTTGTGTTCAATTTATAATTGGCAATAAAAAATGAGTGATGAGATGGTGTTGAAAATTGATTAACACAACTCAGTTCCTAAACTTCAACCAAATAACAAAACATCAGATTTTATTTTTGGAATCTTTTGGTCAGTCTAAGAACTTTTCAGCATCTTGTATATTTTTACTAGCATAATACCAGGCAAAATTGATAGCATTGTTTATGTAAGGATCAGCACTTCTGCATCAAATCAGAATATCTGTGCATTCTGCTTAGAATCAAAGTTTCACTTCACAATATTTCTACTTATGATCAGAATGTAGTATCTGCACAATCTGTGAAAAATGTCATACATTTACACACACGCATATACATAAACAGATTTATATATGTCTATTTGGAAAACTTTACTAATGTATTACCTATATAGACCTTGATAAACAAATAAAAATCATATATTTACTTATGCACTAAATTTAAAATAAGTAAAACTGAAATGGAAAAGCTGAAAGCTTTAAACTTTGGTTCTCCTTTATAGAGTAAAGTAGTTAAGGAAATTAGATTTAAAGAAAATATCAAACTGCTATGAGCAAATGTGTACAATGACTGAAGATCCTTTATGGGAGTAGAAATTTTACCTATTCTATTCAGGGTCCTTGTAATAAACATGTCTTTGAAATGGCCAGTTGGGGTACAAATTGCAGTAGGTATTTGATGTACCTATGTAATAATATTCTTGACCTTGATAGGCAAGCATCATCATCTACTGGTAAGAATATTGAAACAGAACTAAGGCTTTTGTTGTGAGCTGGTTAGAAAGAGAATGAGAGATTATGCTAAAAATGAAGTTGTTTCTTTAGTCAAATAAAGAACCAAATTTTAATTTGACCATCTTCAACTGTGTTTTAACACCCTATCATGGAGGCTGGTCACTTTCTTTACATTTTTTTTAATGTTTTTGTAGTTAAATCATACACACCCACCCTGAAAAACATAATTTGAAAGTCATTAAATATTGATACTCTAAATAGAAAAATAAATATTGTTGACTTTAAATCTGAAGACAATTCAAATATTTGGTTCTTGAAATCTGCTTTCTTATTTTACCTTTGGAAATACAAGAAAGATGAAAGTTGTCTTTTGTTCAATTTATAATTGGCAATAAAAAACAGTGTTTTTTTTCCTACAAAGGAGGTTACATTTTCTTTACTAAGACTTCTTGAATGTGCAGGCTAATAAACATAATACTCACTGTTTAATAAATAAAAAATGGGGTGTCTATTTTAAGTATGAAGTATCGACTATAATAACTTTTGAAATAATAAAAATACAGATTTATTTAAATTAGTACAATGTTTTGAAAAAGTATTTTTCCAAAACGTCTTTAAAAACTGTAAAAAATAGAATTTCATTTTAGGTTTATTTACGCTTGTTTTTGCAATTTTTCATGAAGGTCAAACAGAATTATTTTCTTCATTGCTTGAAATCATTAATTCCTGTGCCAAATGAAGATTTTTCCCCATCATTTTAAAGCAACTGATGCAAATTTTAGTGAACGCCTGTGATTGTATTCTGTTTAGATATTTTGAAACTTGGCCAAAACCAAATATTTTAGCTAGTACATAATTTATACATAAATCATAAGACCTTATCTAGCATTGACACTGCACCATATATGAGCCACTCAGGATAAATCTGGCTGATGATGTGATATTTAGTGTATTTATTCTCTACAGAGGGAAAAGGGAATATGGCCACTCTCTATAAATAGACAATGCGTTACCAGTTAAGTATTTTTTTTTTTCAATTACTCCAACACTTGTTGACTGTTGGAAGTTTTGATTGTATACCTGATTATATTGCTTTCATTTAATCTCTTGTAAAACTGACATTTTTTAACTCTATACTATAAGCCTCCATGGACAAGTCATACTGATGAATATATTACATCCAACATGACCTATTTTATTTAATATACACAACAGATTTATCATCAATGTGTTCCTTAATTCAGATCACCGACAATCCTTTTCAATGCAGAGCCTACACAACAGGATGAATGCCATACTCTAATTAGTTTAAATCAAAAACTGCAAAATTTAGTGCTTAATTGTCAAATTTTGTTTTTGTTTTTTTTCCACTTACTGTCAGAAATATTTATTTTGGTAGCATCTAAAATGACTAAACAAATCAGGAAAGTAGTTGTGTAGTAGTAAAGTCAGTGGGTAGTAGTAATAACACAAAACCTTACTGGATTCAAACTATTGTTTAATTTTTTTTCTCTTTGTTTATTTCAGATGATTAAGCTAACAAATAAATTTTGCTAACAATTATTTGTTGATAGAATATATTGGAACAAATAGAATTCTTTTTTCTTTTATCTGTAATTTTGTAATATCAAACAACTTTTTTAGCTCTTTAGTGCCTAATGATTAAAACTGTCAGTTAGTCTGTATCCAGATGAATCTTATGGCTTATGATCCAAAAATAAGTATCTTAATTATATTCATCTAGCAACATTTAATGCTCACAATATGTTTTCTGTGTTTTGAAATTTAAATAATTTAAGATCTTGATGCTTTTAAAATTAAGAAATTGAAAGCAAAAAACCTCTTTTTAAGAGACTTTTTTTTCCTGTGTAAACCATTTAATTCTGTGTCATTTCTGGTTTATAAACTGATGTACCAAAATATTCGACAATACATTGCATGGTTTTACCCTCCCCAACCTTTAGAAATGATCTGTGTGCAATGTAATAGGTAAAGAGGTAGTATAGTTGTGGTGGCTATGGCATCTGAATAACATTTAATTCTGTTTAGGTGTGGAATGATTATTGATGATCAGTGAGATGAGTCATTCTGTCTCCAAGTTGGCAACTTTCCTAGGCAATAACAAAAGCATATAAAAAAATACATCAATTCCATACAGCAACATGTGAAAAATGCAGGTACCTACAGTTGATGAAAGCCACTGGTGACTAACAAGAATGGTAACCACCCAGAAAATCGCATCTCGTCACATCCCAATTCAATGCTGGTGCTGCTCATCATGTCAATCAGCACACTGTGCAGTGTACATTGTATTCCATATTTTCACCATGACATCGGTTATTATGCCACACCTGGGCCCAAATCATTGGACATTGGAACATTGATGCCATGTCTCCTGGTCAAATGATTTGTGTTTCTAGCTCTTTCAGACATCCAATTTCATGTGTGAAGAAGATTGCATGAGGCTATGGATCAATCTTGTCAGCAGAGTGTTGTGCAAACTGTTACTGGTGTGGGTTGTGTACTGTTAGAGTTAATAAAAACCACTAGTGAAACTGGAGTCTGTCATGCTACATATCATATACACTCATTTTGTTACAGAGCATTTGCATCCTTTTTAATGTCCACTTTGTTTCTCAGTTAGATGGTTGTTTATTCCAGCAAGATAGGAACTCCTCCATTGTACATGGTTAACATGAAACTGGTTCCAAGTACACTTGGCTGACTTCTAAGTACTCCACTAGCTTACATGCTCACCAGATTGAAGCCCCATTGAGCATGTACAGGATATGTTGTAAACCTCACTCAAGAAACACTGCTCAGTTATGGACACTCCATGAAACATGCCTGGATAGATATATCCATGCAATGATTCTATCATTTTGTAAACTCCATGTCATCTTGTTTAGGCAACATTAATCAAATGAAGGACAGAGCTACACATTATTAGTTAGTAGTCTCTAATTTTTTGGCACTTCACTTTACAAAGTCTGTGCATTGAAAAGCCTATCGTCAACATATTTGCAAAAACTATTTTAAGCTTAATGTATTTATCTACAACATTTTCTTTTTCATTTTGACTGAATTCTTGAATACAGGTTATAATTCTGTTTATTGGCATCACCATCATTTCAATATTCAAAATCATTATTTAAGAAAGAAAAATAAATTTATTTTTCCTACTTTCAAACAACTCTTCAGTTTGATGTTCACCTGAAAACTCAATCCTTATGAACAATGCATTAATTCAGTGTTAGTAATTCTCCTATTTTCAATGCTTGAAAGTTGGCATACTACAGTTTGACCCATTTGGCATATATTTTTGTCAGAAGATTATTACGAAGGGACCAAAATAAATAGTGCATATAGATGGAAAATAAAAGTAAAATATTTTTATGCATATACAGATAAATAGCAAGTTATATTTTTATGATATCATGGTTTTATTTCAATTCCTTCCACAATTAACTAAAACAAATGATTTTTTTAATAGAAAATCAATGAAAAAAACTTCTTGTCTAAGTTTAAGTAGTTATTTGGAGTTGATGCATAATTTTACCAAATTTTAATGCTTTGTGAAACTAACATTGTCTATATAATAATATTTGAATTTATTTGCTGAAGTATAGTTTAATTTTTTATTAATATTTATTTGATTTCTGTTGCTTTTTCTCACAACTTACAGGTCATTATCATGCAATTGTTCAGTAAACAGCAAATCTCTTGAAATAAACAATAAGCCTCTGGATTCAAGTTTAAATCTCACAGGTGGCTTGTTTGATTTTGCAATCCATTGGTGTTTACTTCAAGGAGTTATGATAAAATGCAACAGAAATAAGATGAAAGAAATACTAGCCAGACTTTAATAACAAATTCCATGTTGTGAACCTGTTGGAGGACAGAAAAAGTACATGTTGTCTTCTAAGCTGTTACAAAAGATCAATTTACAGTGATTCTTTTCAATTATTTTTTTCTTTCATTAAAACAAATCAACACAAAATTAAATAATAATTGGTGCTACCTGACTGTCCATACATTAGAATAACCATAGATTTCTATTCAAGAATTAAATTAAATTTTTTATTCAATTCTATTTTGAAATCATAATTTTTATTTTCACAGCTAAATAAAATAACTTGTGAACTCTGGATGCAAAGACAATTTCAAGTTTCCTTTTCTTTCTTCTTTTTAATTTAGTTTGAAGCTGGAAACATGAAAAATTTGGTTTTAAAAATTATAAGGTATGTAAAAGGAAGATTTCCTTTTTTTTTTCCAAGTAATAGTTTAATGAGAGCTTTCTTGGAATAAAAATTTTGCTACTCAATATAATAAACAAAGTAACACTCAACATCAAGATTTTATTTGTCTTGAAATTCAACTACAAAATGGAGGTTGGGGACCAATAACAATATTAGCATGTAAGGATTATAGTGTGATGGTAAAGGCCCTATGAAATCTACATTCAGTCATTCTATGGGTTGATTAGTTTTATTAATGTTGGTTTATAAAATTGAGGTTTTAGTAGTGCACACATTTTACAAGTACAAATATGTTTTACTCCATCAGTAAAATAGGGGAGATTTTTAGATTTAATATTCTGAGGAAATGAACAACACCAAGATGACAAAGCCCCTCATGTAAATCTTTAAGATTTGATGTTTGATTACTTGATGATAGGAACTTTTTAGGTGAAATGTTGATAAAAAATTATATTTAGAAAGGTTAATAACCATATCATTTATTCATGGTAGTGGTTATACATCAATTTCAATATACTGATTAACAGTTTGAGAATAGTCAAGTCTTTTTTTTTTTGCATTTGTTTTGTGAGTCTTTCACAACAGCAACCTGCTTTATAAAACTTTGATCTGCTATATTAAAGAACTGGGATTTTGTTTTAATTGGTTTACAGTTAGGGTTTAGACTCTGAGAAAAGTGTTTTTTTTTTTTTTTTTTTTTTTTTTTTTAAGCAAAGATGTTGAACATACACAAATAGAATCTTTATCTGTAAGTTCGGGTCTGCCACCTCCATACTTTAAACTTTTATGCTGTTTCTAAGAAGTAAATTGCATTTATGTTGTCCCAGAAGTAAATTGCAGCACAAATCCTTTGAAATTCCAAGAGTGGTAGAAGGATAAGGTTATCCATTCACTTCTAATGTAAGATTAGTTCGTCCACAAGTATTAATTTTTAAGGCTAAAAAATTTATTTTGCTATTTTGATGAACCTTGTTGCAGGCTAGTGTATGCATTGAGAGATAAACATGTGTCTCCTGAAATGCTCACAACAAACATGGCAGACTCAGAATGTGAGTCCACATAAAGAAATGTAAAGAAACAACAAGTACCAATATATATGTATTAACAAGAAAGGTTATAAATGACAAAGACAAATGATGTATGTGTCAAATGAATGTGTAGACCTAATGGTCCAAAGTATGTGTAGTGAGTGAATGAACATACATACGTGTGTATGTATCTATTGTTCATGAGTTTCCCAAATGGGAACACGTTCTCCACGATAGGTTACATGTTGACAAATAAGTGAATAAGGTGAGAAGAGGGTAAGAAAAATATCGCCAAGTATTTATAGTCCTGAGAGCATCCCCTAGGTAAGATAACCCAACAATACTCCCCTCCAGAAGGGTAGAATTTTTTCTGCTTATAGGTAAAAATCATGTAGTTTTGTTTCTGTCCTCATAAGCTGAAATGAAAAGGTGTCAGAAGTGTTGCTGAGATGCATGATTCAACGAAATGTACTTGTGCTGTCATCAGGATGCTGTATTATTTTCTAGCCGAATGTAGCACACTCTGGAAAATGCATCAGTAGTGAAAATTATTCAGCGTTTGCTATTAAAATTTTTTTTCCAATGCTCCACATTGAATTGTTTTTGTCGTCCTGTCATATTTGGTTCCTGGCCATAGTTGTGTTTGAGAAAGAGCTTGTTTGCTTGCTATGCATGGATAAAGTTGGCGCACAAAATTTAATAGAAGCAGCATTGTGGTAAAGTTGAGATGATGTAAAATTTCTACCGAGTGTCAAATGCATGTTTCAGAACTTTAAAAAAATGTGCTATTATTGTTAATTGCATATCGCAATTGCAAATTCTCAATGTTGTTCGAGTGACATCATCAAAGAGTGAGAAAAAAAACAAAAAGGACAGTGAGTCGTCTTTTGAGATATGTCACACTTTATCTGATTAGCCCAGAAGAAACAGTGTTGATTAAAGTTGAAATGGAGTTGTATTTTCATTTTGTCGAAAAAAATTTTTTTTAAAGTTGTTTGCCAATTGTGGTTAAGTCAAGCGTAATGGTGCCTGAGAGAAGAAAAGGGTAAAAAGGCAGTAGGGAAGAGGTGTGTGTTGTTTGCTGACTGAATGAACCAATGTAGCAGTAATTTTTTTTTTTTTTTTTTTTTTTTCAGGTCACACATGTTGCAAAAAAAATCTATCTGTCTAGTTGGAGAACATCATGTGTTGTATAGATATGTTGTAGTATTTGAAATTTGTGATTTTGCACTTTCATAGTGTCTAATCACAAATTTTGTAGCTGTGTAAAGTCTGCCATGCATGGTTGGGTAGGAAAAGAAGTTTGTTGATGTTTTTCTTCACTGGCTCTCAGTTTGGAAAAGGAGTGTAAATGTATATTTGAGTCTGTACATATGTAATCTTGTGTGTTTCTTGTTAACAGGAGAAAAATAATTATCACATCAGGCCTCACCAACTATTTGAGGGCCAGTGTATGTGTTGAGAGATAAATACAGTCACCTCCTGAAATGCCCACAACAAACATGGCAGACTTGGAATGTGAGGCCACATAAAGAAACGTAAAGAAACAAGAAGAACCAATATATACGTACAAACAAATGATAATGTATTAACAAGAAAGGTTACAAGTGACAAAAACAAATGATGTGTGTGCCAAATGAATGTGAAAACCTAATGGTCCAAAGTATGTGTAAGTGAGTGAATGAACATACATACATGTGTATGTATGTATTGTTCATATGTTTCCCAAAAGGGAACATGTTCTCCATGATAGGTTACATGTTGACGAATAAGCGACTAGGTGAGAAGAGGGCAAGAAAAATATCGCCAAGTATTCATAGTCCTGAGAGTGTCTGCTAAGAGCAGTTTTGAAAATTAGAAGGAGGTAACTCGACAACCTTCAGATTTAACTTTCTTACAGCTATCCATGCTACTTTAATCAGTTAATGCATGTATTAATTCCGAAACTTAAGTAACAGCATCTGCTAGACTTGGGGGTGGAAATTAGAAGTAATGGCAAGTAAGATAAGGTCATGTAGCACTGCAGTAGTGATCAGAGATAATTTGAATCTACATACTTTGGAAAAATATCCCCTTAAATCTCATGTCTTACTCTCCAAAAGGCATTGGCATATTAGGAAAGAAGTTATCCCATTGATAAGTATCACAGACCAATTCTTCATGGTATTGTTTCACCAAATCTGTTTTCACTCATTTTCCATAATTCTTGAAAAAATTCATCAAGAATCTCCCCAGTTATTTCCATATAGCTAAGAGATGTCTTACAAATATTTAATTTGGTGTTTTAGCATAAATTTTCTAATGTTGTTATAGCACTGTTGAAACTGGTACAGTCTTCAATATAGTCATAAACAGAATGTGACACAATTACTTAAAGCATAAAATTTTCTCCACACTGTTTGATGAAATTTATGAACATACGGTACTAATGTTTTCATTCTTTGCTTGTTGTAAGTAAATTAGGGTCTATATCAAGATAACCTTAAATCACATGCATAATAACATCAATATATTATAATAGGAATGTATTTGAGTATAATGTGATCTCCAGTATAATGTGTAAGGATAGTAGCTCAGAATGAGAAATTGGAGTGCCTTGTTTGAATCCTACTCATTTGTTATATTCACTTATGCACAAATACTCTTGAGAAAGGTATGAAGTCATCTTCTCCCCCAGCTAAGGATGAGTAGGACTTGTATCTGGAAAAAAATCATTGTTCTTCTTAAAAATATTCACTCACAAAAAAAAGAATTATTCTTACAATCCAAAATGTTTCAGCTTTAAATAACCCACAAAGGGTTGATAAGCCATAAAAAAAACGAACCAATCATATGTAAATCAATCCCCTTTTTCAAATAACATTAATATATTTTATTTTAGTGTAAAATAAAATTCCCACTTTATTATACATGGAATGTATGAACTCATCAGTTTGTGAGGTGCCTCATCTTATTAAGACAATTTTATAAACTAGTTTGAATCCTGAGACTTGGATATCATTAGCTGCTCAAGCAAAGATGAAGCTTTTTTCTCTAAGAAAGTATCCCCTGACCATATATGTTGGGTAGCCTTTCCTGAAAAGTAAATTATTGTAAGTCATAACTAAGCAAAAGTGGTCATATATTATGCAAGCTGATCCTTTATAAGTTAAAGTAGATCCATTATATATATCAACTATTTACTTCAATGGTATAATTAAATAAAACTGCCAACGTATTACAATAGTCAAGGTTCAACTTCCTTAAAGAATTCATTAAATCAAAACTGGGATTGTTCTTTTTCTAATAAAATACAGTTTAGGTGTAAGTTTATAAAAAGCCAAGGAAAATACTTTGATGACTGTTGTGTCCATAAAAAAATACATAAATAAAAAAATTAATTATATTGTCAGTTTCATGTCCATAAAAAATAAATAGAAATTGATTATAGTGTCAAAAAATAATTATAATAAAATAATTATAACAATCATAATTATCATTAATTCACTCATTCTAAACCAATGAGAATCAACCCCCACTTTTCTCCTCTATACATACCTAAATATGCACACACACACAAAATTTCACTATCAGATGAACAGTTCACACAGGTTGTCAAAATGTGTGTCAACAAAAATTTTGTCTTCTTTTCCTTTTTCAGACCATAATAGTAACATTTATCTTTTAGCACTCAACAAAAATTTGAGGTAAGAAAACCCCAGAAACTTTCTAACTAAATTATCTGGAGGCTCATTACATATATCTATTAAAAAAAACATGAGAAAGACTATACACTTTACTTATTCTTTATCTTATCATTTTGTTGGATTCTGATCCATGTTTTATCTACATTGGACCCCAAAACTGTCTCTCGTTTCTTTAACACCACAATACATCCAGATAATAAATAATACTTGTTTTGTTGTTTCCACGTCTTGCTATTTCTCATTTTTATGAGTATTTTTAAATATATAAATGTTAGGGGGTTTATAATTAATTACTCAGTTATAACTCACCTACAACTCAATAATGAGGATATGAATTGATATGAATAAAAGATTTTGTCAAAAAATACTACAAACTTTTACATCAGCTTGATAATATACTAACATGATATGGTTGCATAATTTTTTTTAATTCTGTTTAAATGTTTTTATGCAAATAATCCATAATAAATGACATCCTTTGATCTTTATCTTTCAGAGGGAGTTATCCTCCTGTTCCATCCAAATATTCCTCTAATCTCAGAGATCTAGTTTCAGCTCTTCTAAAACGATCTCCGAGGTAAGCATTTGCTGCTGCATCTCTAGTGTAATTATGTGTTCTTTTATTTTTCACTGCATCAGTGTAACAGTAAAAAGAGTTAGTTTTGATAAGCTTTTCAATAAGGATTTTTAATCTTAACAGATGGTATCATTTGTTCAGGCTTTTGTTAATTTTCAAGGTTTAGAAAATTATAAGCTTTGTAATTTTTTTCTCACTAGTTTTCTGTTACAAAAACTTCAATTTTACTATTGAATTTGATTTTGAAAATGGAAGCCATTTATTATAATCATAGATGATTTTATCAAATAGTTATTGAAATTGTTCAGTCCCAAACACTTTATTTTAAATGAATTCAAAATGATCCACTTACTGTGATTAAAGATCCTGATATTTTTTTTGATAATGTAAAGTTGTTTATGAAAATTAATTTATAACAACAAATTGATTAACAGGGAATGTAAATTGTTCCAATTTTGATATCTTTTGCTTAATTTGGTCATTATCTAAAAAACAGTTGATTCAAAAAAGGGATCAACAAAGAAATGGCTTCTACCTCTTCCTCAGTCTATATATATATATCAATATTTTTCAAAAAAATTATAACATCTATCTTTATAAAAATACTCAAGGGATTCAAATCTGATTTCTTTTTTTCAACAATAATACAAGGTCAAGTTAAGCTCTACCAAACTGTTCATGACTTAAAATGTATGTGTATTTTATATATATATATATATATATATATATATATATATATAAATTTATTCAAAAATTAAAAAGTTTATAAAATAAAAATGTTTTAAAATTATTCTACAGATTCAAAAATTTTTTTATTTTCAACATTTATGTTATAATTTTTAGATATATTTGCTCTATTCTTTATTGAGCACTCTTTTAAGAATAGTATTTTTTTAGTTATTGTCTTATCTATAGTATATATATGTATGATGGTATATATATATATATATATATATATATATATAATATAGAATTTTAAAGGGTTTTAAAAGGTTCAATTTCAGACCAAACATGCCCCTTGAACATTTAAAATAGGATTGGGCAAAACCGTATCTGAAGTGTTACAATTTAAGCCTGCAATGACCAATCAAATTACAAGTATGCAATTGAGAATTCATATGAATTTTTTGAAAAAAACTTGACACCTCACCTGGTAACCAAATACAAGGTTGGCAGTTTATAATAATTAAAATGCCTTAATGTTAGATGATGTAATACAAAATAAAAATCATTCTAATTAATATTAAATTTTTGTGAAATAAAATTAAAAGTTTAAATTTAAAAATGGTCTAGGGAAGAACTCTGAATTCAAAGTTATAATATTGTCCACATATAGTAGTACCAAATATTAGACGACACACATATATTAGTTTATTCAACATTTTATTCAACATATCACACTCACAGGTAGGATTTGTTGATCTGATTTCTGTCTATGTAGAGTTTTATTATTGCTACTCATTGACTTTACCACTACTCTACCATTTTAGTCATTTCCTGCAAAATCAAGCTAAATATTTCTAGTGGTTAAAAAAAAAAATTTGACAACTCGGCACCAAATTTATATATATATATATATATATATATATATATATATATATATATATACTTTTTTTTCACCAGAAATTTACAGAAGTATTATTTTTCAACTATTTTCTTTTTGTCCATAGTTATTTTTCTGTTTCATAATAATAATGTATCTATAATACTTAATTTTTATATTAAAGGGAACGGCCTACAATTAATCAGATTCTGAAGCAACCATTCCTTTGGCCAAGAATTAAGAAATTTTTAACTGAAAATGTAAGTTTCTTTTAACATTTATCCTTCTGTTTGCATTCTTGTCTCTTTATTTATTTTAATTTATCATAGTGTAAATGTTGTATGTAATTGCTTGTTACAGGAATATTCTGATGAATTCAGTCATACTGTCCTTCATGGTTTGGCCTGTCGTCCAATATCTGCTTCTCCTCGGCCATCATCAGCAAAACCTTTACATGGTACATTTTTTGTTTTAAAGCCTGTGAGAAAAAATATACTACAACCCAATTCAATTTCTTCTACAGCTCTCAGATTAGTTACTGCTATTTTTAAAAAAAATTTAATGTTGATTTTTACTAATATTTTATATTAATGCTAAAAAAGTTTTTTCTAACAGAGAATGAGAAATATCTTTGCTTATAATGTAATTTTGGTTTAAGTTTTACATTTTGAATAGCTGATATTTTTATTAATTATTCACCAATAAATATTTTCTTTTAATAAATTTCTATATTATACTATAATCTGCTATTGTATCCATTTATTTTAAATATTGATATTGACTTAATCAAGATTTTCTTAATTAATCTTTTGAAAACACTTATTGCAAAACACTTTATCAATATTTCAATCATACATTACTAAAAAATTTTATAATTAAAAGTCAAAATGGTTTAAAAATGGCATAGTTTCATCATAGTTATTGTTTTCATATGACCAAGTATATATTTTACATTTCACTAGTATCACATATTTGACAATTGTATAGTACTAACCATTTTTATTAAAAGTTGATGTTTTAAGTATGCATTCCATAATCTTTAAAAAAATTCAATACCACAAGAGTCATATCTTTATCTGCAAGGGAAAAAAAAAATAAAAGCTCTATTTCTTCTCTTTTGGCAGCTGCTAATAAAAGGCCCAATGCTAAATATGACCCAGCTCTCATCTATGGACGTAAATCTGTTGAAAGGTAACTGTTACAAGTTTCTTCCATGTTCATAAACTTGTCATGTAATAGAAGCATTAAAAGGTAATAACAAATGTTCTATTGCATACAAATGTATTATCATTTATTTTGATTTGTATATATTCATTTGTTTTTTAACAGTTCTCATCTCTATGAATGTCATACAGCATTATATATGAATTTTTTGAGACTTGTAATCATTAATCATTCAGACAAAAAGTGTAAAACATCCAGATAACTATAAATGATAAACTGATCAAAAACAAATGACCACATAAGCAATAAAGGAATTACTCTGAATGTATTAATATATTCATACAATTCCTACACTTTAGCTAGATTTTTTATGAGGCTCTCAAAACGTTTGCTGTAGAGAATCTACATTTAATTCATGAAAAATTCATTATCAGTATTATTTAAACAATGTCCCAGTTTTGGCACTCTGATCAAAATAGACATCTCAATACTGTCATAAGTCCACTGCCAACCAAGTAAAAATCCTGTCAACATCAAAAATATAAAATTACGGAAAATATGGAAAAAGATTAAATGAAAACATCAAGTTTTAATCAGGTTAATATTTTTTTGTTTTATATTTGCCTAAAGTGTATTATCTTCATTGAAATAAATTTCTATTAAAGCTTTGCTCAAGCTTTCTCACTAAATAATTAAAAAAAAAAAAAGATATCCAAATAGAATAAAATTAGTAAAATAATCAGTGATTCTTTTTTGTTTTGTTTTGAATTTTTAATTTCAACTGATGTGTTAATTTTTAATTTTGCAGACCCACAAGTGGAAAAAAGAAAAAAATAGATGTAAGTGATTTTTGTCATTGTTATTGTAGTCATGATTGTTGTTGCTGTTGAAATATTTGATACTTTTAGCCTCTTAAAAAAGTATAACATAAATTTTAAATGGACATTGTTTATCTCCTGTTTTGTGTTCATTATTTTGTACAAGAATTCTTGCTTTACTAGAAAGAATTACAACAAAAATTCATTTAAATCCAATTACAATAAATCTGACTACATACATATAAATGGGGATATTATCTATATATATATATATATATATATTGTTATAAAATAAAATAAGACATATCTCGGTTGATTTACAGGCAAATACTCAAGAGCGAGAGCTGGATGTGAACGAGACAAAACCCCGTCACAAAATGACCATTATCTTCATTTACAAATATTCCCGACATACGTGTTCCGGTCGAAAAATAAAATAATATTTAAAGTGTTCTATTTTTCGTCCAATAAAAATGCTTCCCTCCTAATTATGCTCGCTTCATTTTTTGAGCCTGTTAAGCCATAAAAAAACGCTATAAAGGGGGTCACAGGGTAGTTCAACAGAAGTCCACAGGTGCCCAGGGTAGAGACCTGTCACGGACAGCAGCTGACAGCAGGGGAGCATCAACCACCGTCAACTACTATGAGAGATCGACCTAGATCCGAAGCCGGCTTATGAACTTTACCACAAGGTAGCTGTCCCGAACCCACACGTTCCTGTTGAAATAAACCACGTAAATCTATTTCTGCTGTTGTCGTATTTCTTTCTTGCAACCATACGCTTGTCTATAACACTGGTGTCAGAAGCATACAGCAAGAGAAATATGGCCGACTGCACGAGCTTCACCCAAGCCGAACTATTTACTCTCATCAAGGAACAGAAAACACTACTATTCAACTTGAAAACAGGACCAACACAGCCTTCACGATACAGGAAATTCAAGCCGACATAAACGACATGTTGACCGCCCTAAAATCAACTACTTCAACACCTCCCACTGCTCAAACAAACGGCGATTACAGCTTAATGATGCGCCAACAAACTATACGCGACATATTGAAGCTAGAGAAAACTTTTCACCCTGGACACAACATGAACCGATTCATCACGGCCCTAAACAAAATCTATTTCTGCTGTTGTCGTATTTCTTTCTTGCAACCATACACTTGTCTATAACTATATATATATATATATATATATATATATATATAGTTCGTATTATAATTATTTTCAAATAAATTGTTTTTATTATAATAGATATGGTGCTCTCTCTGTCTATCTCTGTCTACATTTATCTCTAAATAGCTTTGGGTTTGGCAACTTCAGTGCTCATTATTTCAAGTGGCTTCCTCAGTCTAATGCCACAGATCTCACTAGCATCCAGAATTTTTCACTTGCCCAATCTCTCACTCAAATATTAGATTTCTATACTCATTTTCCCAAATATTCTGATGGACATACTTCCTTACTTGATCTGTTTCTTACCTCCTTGAACACACTTTGCAACTTTGACCATGTGGTAGTGTCTGTAGATATTTTAGTTTAATAATGATTATTTAATTCAGTTAGCAGAAAACTATTATCTTAAAATGACTGCTTCAACATACTAAACAACTCATTGGTTAATTAAATAGATATATATTTTTGGTAAAATTTTGCAGATACAAGTTATCATCTCGATGGATATATATAAGTTTTGCAACTTCATGATCATCTTGTGGGACAAACAAATGATGAATGAACTGAAATAATAAATCATGTTGTAGTGCCTGTATGTCTTTATGGTGACAAATATCATTTACTCTATACATACTCTATATATTTATTGGTAGACAACATCCCAACCCTTAAATTTATGGATTGAAGAGAGGTTGTCCTGTTAGATTAAAGAGACAGAAGAAAAATAATAGCTATGTATCTGGTTAAGAGGAATGTCAAGAGTGAGAATGAAAGCGGATCCATATATAAAAAAAAAATAAAGGCTAGATGCCAAATACTATTAAATGATGATGACACTTTGAAATGGTATTACAACTACTATAGCAAAAAAAATTCTATAATCATAACATTTAGATTTTTTTTCTTTACAGGTTGAAAAACAAAAGCAAGAGAGAGAACAAAGAATACAATTACCGGTGAAGAAGGTTGGCAAATGTTCTTTTTACATATGAAGCATTTGAATTATTTTTTTTTCCTCTCTCGCTACTGTACTTTGATGAAATGCTCATCCTTCAATATGGCTGCCTTAATTTCATTCTTATTTCTTTTGTAGAAAGCAAATGAGGGCAATGTTTCTCGGTCTGTAGGACAATACAAGAAATATCATGATGTCCTAGATAAAATGAATAAAGTCCGAGAAATGAGGGAAAAAGGTGTCTCACTAAATCAAGGTACCATTTGGGTCATGTTTTCAAATTTATTAATCATTAATCAGTAAAAAAAATGACTTTCCACTTTCTCATGTGATTTCTCAAGATTTACAAAGAGATATATTGTTACTAAGTAATAAAATAATTTGAACCAGGAACAAATTAAATGTAGTTATTATCACATCTTTTAAGCTCTAAAATATATCTAATTCACTGGCTATGACTCTAAAATTACCAAACTGTTACCTGTTTGAACAAATGAGTCACGAATTTCTCACAGTACATTTTTTTACATAAATATAACAAAATAGACAATTGTCATAATACAATGTACTTATTGATTGTCTATTAGGTTGCAAAATTGAATGTCTCTTTTTTTTTTTTTACCAATGAAAATCATCTTAAATTGAAATGTCTCTTTTTACCAATGAAAATCATCTTAAATAAATTTCATTTATATTTCAAAGTTTTAAAATTTTTAACAGAATAAGATTACTTCTCATACAAAACTATCTGCATGAGTACATTTAATATTTTTTTTAAATTGGCTGTTCAGTAATTTTTAGAATTACAAATGTTTTAATTTATTTTTTTTCTATTTAACACTTAAAACCTTCAGCATTGTTGCTTATGGGAGAATATGATATGAATTTTATATATCAAAACATTTATGGGTAACTGAATGACAAAATAGTAAAACATCTTATGTAGGTACCTCCATGAGATCACTAAAAATGAGCATAGCATGAGGAAAAAGATGCCAAACTTGAAATTTTATCATCTGAATGTTTGTTATTATTAAGAGGAAAGACCAAAGTATTTTTTAATTATTTTTTAAAATTTTTCTTTCTTTTTAGAACATTTTAAATTTTGATTAAAAAAAACCTTGTTTCTCTTTGTATCACTGAAACTAGTAAATAACATATAAATTTTTTGCACATTTTTTTTTCTATGACAGACATTAATTTGGAAAATCTTGCAAGAATAAAAATAATTATCAGATATTAATGAAACTTTCAGAAACTATTTACAAATGATGGAAATTATTATAAATATGTTTTCTTTTTTTAAAGTCATGGCAAAATTTTTTTTTTATATTTATTACCTCCCCCACCTCTCATAACTAATTTTATGAAAACTCTAGAAATTCAACATTGTTCAGTTTAGTGATTATATTAGTTAAAAGCACAAGGCTTTGAGAAAAGCAAATCTTTTTTTTTTTTATTGGACCCCCCCACACCTGAAAATCAGCTCTGAATTGTAACATACAAAACTCAATAAAACAAAGATATTAATTCCAAATGATTTTATTTGCTTTTAGTTGTTTTTATGAATATGGAAAACATTTTCTGAAAGCAAAAAACTTTTTCAATGAAAAATGAATTTTTAATACAATTATTTATTTATTTCATTATTTTAAATTTTTACATTTAAGTTGTTAAAATATTATAAAATTAGTTGAAAGTCGCATTCAGTTTCATAAATGGCATTATGAGATAGATCATTTTTGAAATTGTATTGCTTCGACCCATCAGAAGACTCACACTAATTAAGAAATGTAATGTGTTTAGAAATTTGCTATAATTAAAAATACAGAAGACCAGCAAGAATACAATTACGTCGTGTTATTTGAGTTAAACATTGCTCTCCGCTGTTAGGGCCTTAATTTTTGCAAAACACATGTGGAGAAGTTAATTTGATTTTTCAATTTCAACCGAGAAGGGTAGCTACAAGTATTAGTATCATCTTATGAAATTTATATGATCTTATTTTTATATTAATCTCAGTTATGACATTTTTCCATAAATGAAATATCAAGATTAATAATAAAATGAATGGAAATATAAATAACACAGTAAAGTGTAATAAATGTATATAAAATTATAGTATTTTATGTAAACCTCTGATAAAATTTCAAAAGGAAGATACCTATAAATTAATTAGATACCTTTCTTATGAAATTTAATCTCGCTCTCAACAGAAAAAATAATTTTTTATAATATATTTTCCATAAAGCATCATAAACGTAAAGGTGAAACCTAAGTACAAAAAAAAAATTAGAGCGCTGAAAGTTTTCTTTAAAAATAATGAGGTAAATAATTTGTTCACTTAAATCTAAATAATTATGTTACTTCTGTCCTCCCATATGATAACTTTTCATCATGTAAGCTGGCAATACATGATGAAATCCTCACTCATCACCTGTAAAGTGACGCAAAATGTTATGACCTGCTTTGTTTTATTTTTAAACTACCTATTTTCGGCACAGAAACTAAGTAATGCTTATTTCAAAATATTTTAGATAAACATTATAATTTCTAATTTTCTTAAAATGAGTTTTGAAAAAATTATAATTGATTTTTAAAAGAATTTCAAATAGATTTTCATTTTTTTTATAATCAGGAAATATGGTTGACATGATTGATTATCTGTCAATTTTGCTGATTCAAAAAAACAATTTTTAACAAAAATTTTGGACATGCTAGGAACAATTAAAAAATGTAAAAAAAAAATACCCCCAAAATACTTTGATCTTTCCTCTTAATAATAACATAAACATGTAGATGATAAAATTTTGTTTTCATCAAGTTTGGCATCTTTTTCATCATGCTATACTCTTTTTTTTTTTTCTTTTTTTCTCAAGTCTCAAAGTTTAACCATAATAAAATTACATGATACCTATTTTCCTCCAAAGTAGTCCCTTGTGTGCTGTTTGCACATTGATTCACAAAGAATAGTAACAAAAGTCTGTACTACTTTTGGTTTATACACATGGTTTAAATTCCACAAACTTTTGTGTAGCACCTTATATACACTAAATTATATGAAATGGTTTCTTCATCTTGGTTGTCATAGTACTTTGTCCTTCTTCAGGTGCCTATCATATTTGGTAATATTCCAAGAATTTCAAATTGAACCCTTTATTTGATCCACAGGAGTAAACTGTTTCGATTCCACTTTCAATGCTAGAGGATATCTACTATTACAAGGATTACTCAAAAATTAATGAAGCAATGGTGATAATTGTAATATAAGGGATATAAGTGAATGGCTCCAAAGGCTTACTAGCATGATGCCTTTTTTATTTTTTAAACTAATATGAAAATTGGTAAGAATTAAAAGTCTGTGATATAGTCCTTGAGACATACCAGTTGCTTTCTGGGTCAGAGAGAATGACTGTATATTGTTAACATGGGCCCTTCAGTAATGGTCATCAACTCCTCCAAATTACATGTCTCACTGGCATTGGATGGCAGTTCAACTATGGCCTCTTCCTCTACTGTACTAGGAGGTTGACCATGTTATTTTTCTTGTGTTTATAATATCAGACTACATGACTAAATGTATTTGGGATGGAGGGTGTGGAAGGAAAGATACTGTTATTGCCATCTTCATTACTATTGCCTGGCTGATCAAAAAAATTCCTGGTCAGTGGCTGTTACAAGTAAGGACTTTGAAAAATCCTTCTCTATGTACTTTGTAAGTATTTGTTCTTAACTGGGAATCATCAAACTTTTGAATAATGACCTAACTGTCTTGTATAAAGGACACCAGGTACCATTTACAATCATTGGATTTTGTCAGATCATCATATAGGCATAAAATATCACCAATTTTCACCTCTATACATGGCCTTTATGAGTAGTTAAGAGTCTTAAAGTGTTCACTGTAGTCATGGTTGGAGAGCTGTCTGTGTTGTTGGTTAATCAGGTCTATATCTTTAAAGTTAATAAAATCATTAGTGAACTGTAACTTGTGATAGAGAACTTCCCTGGGTAACAGTCCAAGTGATCAAATTTTAACATTCAGTGCACATGTAGCTATAGCAAGGGAGACTGAAGAGACCCATCCACCAGATGGCTCGCTTTTGAGGAGTTCTTTCTTGATGTCCTGAACTGCTTTTTCTGCAACCGGATTAGTGTTTTTTTTTTGTTTTTTTCTGTGTTCTGTCTCAATTGAGATATAATAATGGCACAGAAGCTTGTTGTTTTCAAGTGCCTTAAAATTGAGAGCAGAGTCTGTGCTTATGATGGCAGACAGGTTGTTGATGTGCCTGATCCTTCTGCCTGTCTAGTATGAGGTCAATGTGCCATGATGATAAACATCCCATAAGCTCTTGAACAAATCCACTACATTCCGTGATTCTTTTCCTTAGCCTCATTGAAGGAGATAAGAAAATGAGAGCAACTAGAGATGACCCAGCTTAAGGTCTTGTACACACCAATAAATGAACATATGCTCCTCACTGTTCTAGGGGGTTGACAAGAGCTGAGTGTTGCAATCATGTGCAGATCTGATGACAGTCCCTTCTGACCAAATCCATCCAAGAATGAATGTGTGCTTTAGGCAAATTATGGTTTTGTTAACTCAGTCTTAAATTGGATTTTGACAATGTCATGAGGACTTAGCACTGCTCTCTCCACATTATAGGTCACTGGCAAGCTTTTGAATGTAGATACCATATTATGAAAAATCAGTTAGTGGCGATTGATTATCAAGACAGATCTGGTAAGGTCTGTCTTAAGAATATCTAGGGTCCAATGGGCTCTAACCATGTACCATAGGTCAGATTTGGGAAGGTATGAGCATTGACTTAAAAAGTGGTTAATGTTAGTTTTTTAGCTTGACTGCACAGTGGACATGCTTTTTTAGGGACTCGTATAATTTTTTGGTGTCTTGATGAGTGGTGAATGCCCAATTCACGGACATATTATTGCTTAACTTCTCAAGCAAGGATTCTATTGCCTGAGAGATTTCTGTTTTTATTGAGGTTAAAGTACACAATCTCGATTCAGTCCCATAGCATTGTTTAACCAACTTAGGTAGACTTGGGTAGATTAGTTGTAACAATAGGAGGATTAACATGTTTTCTAATGTAAGTGTCATCTCTTTCTCTGTGAGAAGGACACCATGGTGACTCTTATGGGTATCTGGTTTTGCATGAAGTCTTTGATAAATGAAGAGTCTTTGGAATAAATCCACCAGGCCCTTGTCTGATTCCAGTGTAATAGTCAAAATACAAAAAGTGGGCCCCACTGATTTGGAAGTCATTGTTTTTTAATAACCTGCCACACACTTGGCAGAGATATAGAGGCTTTAACTATGGTGTTTCTGGAAATTGTTGGGCAATAATTAGCTACTTGATCCAGCATCATTTCAACAATATTATTTTTCTAGCCAGCAGTAAGCCTGTCTTCTCAGAATTTCTGCACCATTGTCTGTAAAGCCCCTGTGCAGATTGGTACCTTTTCCCAGGTAGAATCCAGAAATAGAACAAAGTCAGAGGTCTGAGCATAGGTAGTAAGTTAAATTATTCTTCCATGACAGGAAGTTTTGTTCTTCTGGTTTTGGTGCTCATGAATCATGGATAGTATATGTTACTTGTCGAATGGATAGAGAGTGATAAACACGTAATATTCAGTTCAGTGTTAATGTGAATAAAGTTCAAGTCACTCTTCTTACAGAATTGGTAGAATTTTGTTTGGTACTCACAGGTTTGTAGAAATATCAGTTGTCAGTAAAGCATGGTGTGGCATCTGCAAAAGGAGACTGAGGTACTAAACTCCTTTATGGTGAATATTTGTAGGTAGTTGATTAGTTATTTGGTGGGTAAGTATCTCTTCCTTTCCAGTTAGAGGACTTAGGAAAGTGTAAAATGTGGATGAGAACAGTGCTGCCACCATGCCAGTTAAAAAAGAAATGACACATGACAATTCTGAAGAAAACCTAGAGACTTTTAGATAGGTAAAGTAGGCACTGACCATGTACATTCCAAAACACAGACACAAAAGTGACACTTGGGAAATGAAAGGTGATAAATGTAATACAAGGGATTTAAGTGAATGGCTCCAAAGGCTTACTGATATTAATACTGACTCATGCAAAAAGAATTGCACCATATTTATGGTGACCAAATAGTTGATATGGTCACAGTTAAACACTCAGTAATGCTTTTCTGCCATAATGACAGCAATATGTGACAAGCTATGTTTCTGGTAACCCTACACGGGCTCTTGTTCATTGTTGGTGAAAATGCATAGATAATGGTGGTTACTATGTGGAAAAATAGTGTTTTGTAACTGAAAACTTACTCTATCAAATGGTGTTATTGTGTTCCCAGTATCTGTAGTACTTTCTACAGAAATGGATAGGTAGCATTAGTTTTAAAAATCCCTTGTAGTTAATTCATCCACTGAACCAAAGGATATGAATTTTATTGCCTGACCTCATTTGAACTCATGGCCACCAGGTAAAGTAAATGCACTTAACCAATACTTATGTGAACTGGGTTATTGTCCCAGAGGATAATCTGGTGCTGTGATTTTAGAACCTTAAATCTATTGCCTGTTCTTGCCTGAACACTACTGAATATAAAAGGCATTGAAAGAGAGCTGGAGTGTACAACAGCTGAAATGTTGTGACTATAACAACCAATATAAATACATCAGTTTAAATAAATCCTGACATAATAATGATAATAGCTCATCTTGTAAATTCAGACAGAAAAGCACCTTATATATAATATGAATCGTCCACTGTATGACTTTATCTGCTTTCTTTTTTTTCTTTTTTTTTTTTATCATCTGCTTTTCATTTCCAATTTATTTTCAGCTCACTATTTGAACCAAGCACGACACAACCCTTTAGCCATTATGGCTCGTAATAATCCTGCAAGTAGACCAACTCATGCCAGACAAGCAGCTGTGTCCAGAGCCAGTGCTGCTAGGTATGTCAGTTTTATCAATGTTTTACTTTTATTTCCACTTTTTGTTTGAGATATCGCTATATGAGAGACTATGATCTTTTTGCAGTACATTATTTGGTGATAATGTCTCTCTAGAGGAAGAGTATTACTTTTGCCGACTTATAGCAACCCTTACAAGGGCTACATCATTTATCTTACATACTTTCATAGTCCAAAGAAAAATCAGTTTTATAAATGGATGAATAAAATTTAAATGATTGAATAAGTTTTTGTTATATTCCGTGCTAATAGGAATATGTACTTGAAAAACACGGTGGATAAAATAAGTAAATGTTTATTGTAACGAACCAGTACAATAAGAAATAAAGTAACAGATATGCACAAAGTCATCACAAGTCAATCCAGTAGTGAGTGCTACTATTGGAAGATTGGAAGTTCTCACGTAAGTCTGAGTCGTACTCAACAGATCCCAGCTAGTATATTTAGCTACCCCCCACGAAGGTTCCATGTGGCACAAGGCAAGTTTAACATGGGTTCTCCGAGCCTGTAGGCTCGGCCAAAAATATTCCTTTTGGACCCATATAAATGGGTTCAGTGGCAGTCCACCTCCCCGAACGAGACTCTGCTCTTCGGCGGAGCCTCATCCGGGTTCCTCTCTGCCCAAAGGCAGAGAGTTTGATTGTTCAGCTGGAACAGGTTGCAGCTAGTATATTTAGCTATCCCCTCCCACGAGGGTTGCATGTGGCACAAGGCCAGTTTAACGTGGGTTCTCCGAGCCCATAGGCTCAGCCAAAAATATTCCCTATTTGAACATGTATAAATGGGTTCAGGGTCAGTCTACCTTCCCAAACGAGACTCTGCCCTTCAGCGGAGCCTCATCTGAGTTCCTCTCTGCTCAGAGGCAGAGAGTTTGCCTGTTCAGCTGGAACAGGTCGCAGCTAGTATATTTAGCTACCCACCCCCCACGTGGGTTGCATGTGGCACAAGGCCGATTTTAACGTGGGTTCTCCTAGCCTGTTGGCTCGGCCAAAAATATTTCCTTTTGAACCTGTATGAATAGGTTCAGGGTCAATCTACCTCCCCAAACGAGACTCTGCCCTTTGGCGGAGCCTCGTCCGGTTCCTCTCTGCCCAAAGGCAGAGAGTTCGACTATCTAGCTGGAACAGGTCGCAGCTAGTGCCTGTAGTCCATTGACTTACAGGTACTTATAGCTAGTTACTACTGTCATATGCCCTAGTCGACGAACAGGTTATAATGCGATTATACGCTGACCAGGAGATAAGGCATTATCACATCTGTGGAGAGATACAGGCTATCTCTCCCAGATCATGACAAATGGACAACAAAATATTTTAAAGAATACTGTTCGCTTAGGATAATCGAACAGTAATCTTTTCCCAGGTTTGCTTCAGTTCAACACGAATACTGATCCACAATACAAGAATGAACGATAAGGCGTAATGAATTTTGGTATTAGAATTTTAATATGTACATGTATATAAAATATTAAAATAAAAGAAAAATATAAGCATGAGTAAACATCCGACGACCAGATCTCAAGACTTATGTTGTGATACCAAAATATGCCTAAATCCAAGTGGATTCAACTGAACCCAAAAGAATAAAAAATATAAGTGGATAACTATGAATGCAGAAATCAACGCATAACCAAAAGAGATGGGATAGGATTTACATATTATTATTTTAACATGTGGAAAGGTGTTTGTAAGAACATAATATTTATGGATGCATGTGTATCTCTCTAACATGGGTCCAAAATATATAATTACTTATCTTTATATTCAGTTCTCTTTTTTACTCATTGTCCTTTCTTTTCTCTCTCACATCTCCTCTTTTCTTTCTTTTATACAAATCCAATTTCACACACGATCCGGCTGTAAAAGAGATATACACTTTCTTCCTCTCTGTGGTTTTCTCTTTTCTTTCTTTCTTCTTCGTTACACAACTCAGCTTGCAACAGAGATATATACTTTCTTCTCTCTCTCTGGTTTTCTCCTTTTCTCTCTTCAAACGCAGGCTGTATTCTCAGCATACAAATTTCCTTGCGTCTTCTAAGATAAATGTCTCGATTTATCTTCTTCACTTTGGAGTTAACGAATAGAAATACATTCCTTATATTTCTTATCCGGAGTTGCCTGGGATGAATCGGACAAGTTCCATCATTACCAAAATGATTCTCGTCTTTCCGTTCATAAGTTATCAGCGTTTCAATTTCGAGTCTTGCTCTTTCAAAGACAAGACAGCAACTTGATTTCCAAGTAATTTTCTAATTCTCACGTGTCCTGCGTTTTGGCGCGAATTCCAGCTCCTGCTGCTTTATGACCTTACGTCGGTCCACTGTCTAGATTATGTCTAGATGTCTGTTGCTACAGATAATTGGGTCAGTCAACCTCTTGACTTGCTTTCCCAAAATGTCACGAGACTTGCACATGATCTCTTCTGTTGTCAGGTGGAGATTAACCTTAATATATGCGTGTTTGGGCTATCTGCATCCATCACACTACCTATAGTGTAATCACTCATGGGGGTGAAAGGTTATTCCATTACATCAGTTTTATTGAGATCTTTTTTGTAATCAGCAGGATATGGTTTAGAACAAAAGAGAAATGTCCTCATTACAAAGGCATCTTGCTATGCTTATACTGAGAAATAATATATAATTTAGTAAAACTTTTAAACATTAACAAATGCTGTGACAAAATAATTACTTAACTGCAAATGAGAAAAGAAATTTTTCAATATATTAAAAAAATATTCAAAATATTTCAAACTGCCATTGACTGGATAAAATCTTGGTGGCCCACTTGTTGTTAAGATACCCCAGGTATACCTGAACAGATATTGTTGGCTAAAATACTGTGAAAGCTCAGTCAAGGCTGACTTTTGCTCTTGTGTAGAAACATTTAAGTTTGGCTAAATTTTTACTATAATTCTTTGTCTGCCTGTTTCTTACAGGAAAGAAGCAGCTCATGCAGCTGATCAAGGCAAAATCGTATCTGATTTTCTTCAACGCAAAGCAGAAGCTGCAAGAAACAAGGCAAAAGCTGAAGCAGAAATGTTAGGAGTAAGTTTTGGTGTTGTCTCAAGTTTTTAATTCCTTATGTGATCCCAATTAGAAATCTAGAGAACTTAGCCTTTTGCTGTGCATTTAGAGAGTATTCATATACTTTAAATTTATATCACTTTAACATGTGGTAAAAATTACATTTTTATCACCCCCATTAGGTGCATTGTGTAAAATCAATACTTTATATTTTTCATTATTAAGCTCTGAATTTATTGATATACCTGTATATATGTTTAGATATGAAGAACGATTATATGGATTAACAGAATCTTTGAATTGTACATTAAGATCCTAAAATTTTCAATTACCCATAAAGTTAGTCTATATATTTTTATCAAACACTAAGAAAAACTGCTACAATTTGACTTTTGTCAGAAAAAAAATGGGAGCAATTAAAATTCTTGATATAAACTACCAAGTATCCCCTCTTTTTCTAATATTTATTGGCTCAGTTGAATTTGTTTTTTTCTTGTGTATAATATAATTTTAGTATAATATGACCCATGTTTCTGAAACTAAAAACGGAATAAATCACATAAAATATGACCCTGTACAGCTATCCCCATGTAAATTTTTTTATGCTGTACCATATTACCCATTAAAATTTCAATGTCGTACATATATTTCATTAAAATATTTAATTTTTCACAATATTAAGGAATAGAAATGAACTGTATATTTCTTCTAATTTCCATTTCAAAACTTATTTTCAACTTTTTGGCAAAAGGTGATAACTAAACATACTTGATAATACATTTTAAGGTGTTAATTAATCTATCATACTTTTCTGTTTGATATGACTTTATTATATTTCTATATATTAATAAACTATGAAAAATAAAAAAAATATTGTCTTTCATTAAGAAGAAAGAAAACTTTATCTTAGATATTTATAAGTCTACCATTTGTCCTTGCTTTGAATATGGCTGCCACATCTGGTTTGGTGCTCTTGCTATGTATTTAGAGATTCTTGATAAATCCAAAAAAATGTTATTGGTTCTAATTTAGCATCTCAGCTTCAGTCACTTTCCTACTGCCATAATGTAGTTTCCCTGTGCCCTTTCTATAAATGCTTTCATGGTAATTGTTCTGATGAACTTGCCTCTATGGTACCTAGACTTTATGAATTTAAGCACTCATTTGGTGACAATGTCTCATAATTTTACAATTGAAATGATTAGATGTAACCATAAGTTTTATACTAACAGTTTCTTTTATCATTTGTGGAACTCTCCTCCAATTTCTTGCTTCCCAGACAACTTTGATCTTCAAAAATTTAAATGTAATATCAATCGTTATCTACTGTCTTATTTATTCTTGTTCTTTTAATGTTCTCTTTCCTTAATAGTGTGTTGTTTTGTTCTTTTGTGGGGGGTCTCATATTCTCTAACACTCAGTAACTCCTTGTGTGTTAGTGGCTTTATTACCTTGCTTGAGGTGAAATGATTAAAAAAAAAACAATAAATAATAATAAAGTTCAATTAAAATAATTTTATCACTTATATATTTTCATTTTTTTTAACATAATTTTATTTTACAGGTAGTACCACAGCAAACGCCTAAGGCATGTAAGTATAATAAAACATTTTTATTAGTAAACAATAGAACCTCTACCTTTGCTATGGCATTTATATCAAATATTTTGCTATATTATGTAAAGAAATGCATGACAAGACCAACAGTTGAAATATTATTGATACTTGTTCTGAATTCTTGTTTTGCTGCTAAAATAAGAATTCTGGATAGAACAAATCAATAACAGGTGGAGATGCAGGGTGGTTGACTTGAAATAACAAAAATTTCTAAGATTAAATTAAAAATTAAATTAGTAATTGTTCTGCTGGACTCTCCTCTATGGTACATAGACTTTTATAAATTTAAGCACATTACTAGGTTGGCTGCAAGATTGCATCATTTTACATTTGAAATGACTACATGTAACTAAGTTTTATGCTAACAGTTTTGTTTCTTGCACTTCTCACTTGTGGAACTCTCTTCTGGCTTCTTGCTTTCCAGTCAAGTTTGATCTTCAGAAATTTAAATGCAGTGTTAATCATTATCTTCTGTCTTCTTAATTTCTGTTCTTTTATTGTGCTCACTCCTTAATGTTTTTCTTATATTCTTTCACCTTCTGCATTTTAGTGACTTTGTTGCCTTGTTTAGGGTGAAACGATTACAAAAAAGTATTGCTTTGAATGGTACCACTGATTATTGCTTACTTAATAATTCAATTCATAATGTTTTGTAATTATGAATTCTCTTCATTTTAGATGAAGCAAGAAGTCGTCCTTTTATGTATGGACCACTAGCAAAAGACAAAACCCAGCAAGAAAAGGTGATTGTATTTTAATGCAAAATTCAAAATAATATATTATTGCTATTTTAAACTATTGGACTTACTAATTTGCTTAAATGTTTCTTTATATGTATGATCAAGTGGGAGTGACTCAAATTAGTCATGTACACATTTTACAGTCACCCTCAGTGCATTGGCAACAACCTACAAGAAAAAAGATGAGTGTCACAAGTACCACACAAGTACCTCTTTACAAATTATGTATATTAATTTTCCAAGCATAGCTTAGATGCAGCACAAGGCTGAAAGCAGGGGGCACCCAATCGGAATCTAACTCATTACTCAGCAATTGTTCTAGCAAGACAAGCTTGCTAACCATTGTACCACTTCAAGGTGCCTATACAAATTATGTATATATAACAATAAATAGTTAACTAAAAGCATTCAGATCATGTCATGCTCAATACAACGTCCCTCACAATTGTATACACACTTGGTTTAATACTTGAAATTTTCTTAACACTTTCATAACTTGATTAATGCTCTTTTCTTTTTAAATACTAACTACTTATGCATTAAATTAACACAACTTGATTATTTTTTATGTAGTGATTCATTAAAAATAGTTTGTCAAGAGATCCAAAATACTTGTGCAATTACTCCAAGTGGATAGAATTGTCACACCATAATATCACATTTAAATTTATATTTTTTGCTCTGAATATAATTTTAAATATCTATTTGTTGAGACTAACCAATTTTAACTGAAGGCCACATTCAGGAAGCACCTCATGTTTAGAGAAAAATACATCTGAGGTCACTTTAAAAAAATAATGTTAAATATAATAAATTATTTTCTTATAACTGAATGAATCTTGGATGTTTTTCATTCAATGAATTTCAGTTGATGCTGTCTTAATAGAAAAAATATACAACAGAATGAATAAAAATGACAAAAACTTTTTTCTCTACATGCTTACTAACTTTGCTTATTTATGTCAATTATTTACTGCTTCTGTTTGCAGAAATACCTCTATTTCCTGCAAAAGATTGCTCAACAAAACTTTGAAGAGAGACAAAGATTACGGTTCTTTAAGGAGGTACAACAGAGGCTGCCTGCAGTCTTTTCATTTTCTCTCTCTTTTCTAGATGTGAATGCTTAATTAAAATGAAAGTACTTACTGTGGTAATTTTAAGAGCAACAATGTTAAAAGTATTGTACCACTTATGTACTTAATTTTAGTTGCACTCGTGTATTTGTTCCGTGTTGCATAATTCGACATTAAGGTGTCAGATTGTCTGGTGAGAAATGAACAAAATGTGATATACACAAAATGCCATCACCCAATGATTGTTGTTGTTGTTGCACAATATACTTAAAAGAACAAGAACACAGCAACTATCAGAAAAAAGCATATAAGAAGAAAACTAAACCCCAAAATGGTAACCTCTGCCATTACACTTGTGATAGTTCACTAATCAACATAGCTTTTGGCTGCCCTGCTAATTCTGAAGAATTAGCTATATTACAAAATCTGGTTTATATTTGTTAAAATATGTGTTTGTGAATTTACATAGATTGTACATCTAGTGCAATACAAATACAGCTTTCTATATATAGAACAAACATTTGAAAACAATCTCTATGATTTTAAATTCATAATCTGTTTTACATCAATATTCAAATAATTTACAGTAGCCCATTATAAACTTACTACAATAGTATTTTAGTTAAAACTTAAATCTCTCTGGAAGAACGAAAAAAAGACACCAAGTTGAAAATGTGGGAAAAAAATACTTAGAAAATAATTTTAAATTTCATGTAAATTCTGTTTATATTGTTTCTGCTCTTCATTTGATACCATTCTTTAATGAATCTGATATATGAATATGAGACCAACATTTAAGCAGATATTAAAGATTCATTGACAGTTATTGATATTAAAATGTTGGTAGTCTTGGACCTTCATGCCTGCAAAAAAAAACAGTGTGAAAAGGACATTTACACCACTATTATTTTAACTACCTTCACTCCTCAGCAATGTTTATTTTTTTTTAAAAAGCAAAGATTAGAATTGTAATAAAATCTAAATATATGAAAGTGAATTTATACATTTTCTTTGTTCTTGAGAATTGACAACAAACATAACAAACACTATTTAGTTATTAGATTGTTTATTGGAATGGTTGGTAAAACAACAGCCAATTCGAACTTTGTAAAATAGTAAATAAGAATTTACTTATAATTGGTTCACATATTTTAATAATTTAGTAAATTTATGAAAAAAATATTTTCATATTTATTTCTTTATAAATAATAAATATTTCCTTTGCATTAGTTTTTATACAACTGTATTAGTTTTCAGAATGTTGTAAATATAAAATTATTCTCGTAAATAAACTGTCTAATAAATAGTGTTTAATATCTTTGTTGTAAATTCTCAAGAACAAAAAAAAAGAGTATAAATTCATATGTTTAGGTTTTATTACAATTCTAATCCTTGCTTTTTAAAAGAAAGAAACATTGCCAAGGAGTGAAAGTAGTTAAAATAATAGCAGTGTTGTGGTAAAAAAAATGTCCTTTTGACACACTAGAGGGTTTTTCCAGGTCCAAGATTACCAAAATGTTAAGCCAATAATTTTTTTGTCTTCGGTAATAAAATACTAATGACTTCATCTGCCAGTAAACAGAGTATAATAAAATCTGATTTAACCAGATCAATGATTACAAATGAAATATAGCAATAATGGGCCAATTGGAAGGTACCCTTTAAATGTAGAGGATAACTATAAATGAAAAACAGCGTTAATAGTTTTTATTTTAGAACAAAGGAAGTAATCCAATAATAGGAGTCTATCAACAATGTATGAATAAAATAGCAGTACAGGGATCTCTTGTTCCTTGGACTATCACCAAGGTATCTTCTATTTCTGGGTAAAGGAAAGATTATTGCAACAGGGCTGCAGGATTGGGCTATATTTGAAAGCTTTGAATTAACTTGTCTCATTAGTAGCCCAAATTAATCCAACTTAATTTAAATGTAACCCAAAATGTTACACTGAAGTAAAATTTAATAGTATTTGGCTTCTATAGTAGTTTAATCTGGTGACCCTGCTATACAATACATGTTCATTACTCAGTAGTTAGCCCATTAGTTACTGGATGTTCAATCTGATTTAACCAGATCTAACCAGATTAATTCCTTGCTAAATTAAGCTTAATAAATACCCTTACAATTCACAAAACCCACCCAAATGGAATTACTTCATTTTTACTTTAAAGATTTAACACAGGATAATTTATTTGGATGATGAAACTTCTTTCAAATGCATATTATTGTGAGAATTAGTGAGACCCTATCTTTTGTTTCGACAGTTTGGTTAAATTTAGATCTTACCTTTTTGAGTGGAAAAAGTACCTTGAGTTTGTATCATATTTGCCTCATGGATGATATAACCTGTAAAAAAAATCAATTACTCTGTATTTGCTATTAATTTGTACTGGAGTATACAACTTTTTGTGGTATGCCCCATCCTTTTAATTTAACTGACCTCTGTGTTTTTGTATGAAAAAAATAGACCCAACTTTGGCCTTGAGTTAAAAATTGCTTCAGCAAAATAATTACCAAGAGGTGATTCCTCAAAATACCCCTTTTAGAAAAATAACATTTAATCAATATGACAGATGAAACTTGTATACTATTATATCAGATATAAACTTTATTTTTAATAAAATCTAGCCAGGAAACAATATTTTTAAATAAATGCTAGATTTTAAAAATTCCAATTAAATAAGCATAATTTTTTTTTAATGTATTGCTTTGTTTTCTCATGACCCAAATATTTTTTCTTTTTCCCAGTAATATTTATATTCTCTTTGTGTTGTCTGCCTTCTCCATTGTTTGCTTCAATGTTTTTTATAGAATGTAAAATTCCATTTTTATCTTTTCTCTCAAAGAAAGATGATTGCAATGAAAGGCATAAATTTTCAATACATTTAAACTTGTAAAATCTTTTTTCTGAAATTCCTTAAAAGGAGACAATCTTGTTTATCTTTGTCATGCAGTCATTATATACAAATAAAGTGATATCAGTTAAAGAATTAATTCTGTACAAAGTATTCTTATTACAGAAAATAATTTTACTGACAGATACAACAGTTTAATTACCAAATCCAAAATCAAATTTTATCAATTGAAATTGATAGATATTAGTTTTAGCTGTTAGACAAATGATATCCTGAAAGCATTTGTTGTATTTAATAGTAAAAATCTGATTCTCTATGTCAAATGGTCAAAACAGTGCATTGTAGCCTGAGGTATTTTTTTAAAGTACTCCTAAAATGCTCTAACTTAATGCAAGCAAGAATATAATGTCTTGACTTGTAACAGAATCATAATATTGTGGTGTCTGCAGTTGTACTGAAGTGTAAAAAGAAACTATTTTTTAACGGAGTAGCATCTAAATGCTAATTATAGAGTATTATCCCATAGTTATTTATTTGCATATTGTATAAAAAATCAAGGCATATAAAAGATAGCTCTCCTTTTTGCGCATAATACACAAAAAGGTAGTGTAATCTGTGAAAGAGTAATTTCAATGATAATCTTTTTATTGATCATAATTTTCATTTGGAGGGTGACCCAGTAGTTCAGTGTTGTCTAGTTTCTTCTAAAACCGTAAGAATTGATTTTGACAAGAATGGAATTTTCCTTTGCTTATTAACGCTTACATCCAACTTGCTGCTGCATTTTGCTTTTTTTTCTGTTGATGTAAATGATTTTAATTTTAGCTAAGGCTAAGTATTCTTTATTATTTGCCTGATATTCCACTGGGTGAATGAATTCCGCTACTATCTGAATTTCTGAAACGAGATTTCGTCAAATTGGTGTCTACATCTTGATTGTTTTAATTATAACATTTCAGCCTTTTTACTCTTACTTTTTGTGGATACCTGTCACATTCAATAACATTCTTGGAGTATTGTACTGAACCCTTTATTCAAGCCTCTGTAATAGAACATTCTCATTCCACTGTCCATTCTTTAGTTAATTCTTCTGAGTGGATATAAACATTGGTCAAATGTGTATAATTTACCTGGTTGTCATGAGTTCACAGATCAGGCAATGAAATCCTTATACTCTAGTTCAGTGGAATGAGTAAGTGGGGTTCACAAGGACAAATTAACTAAGAAGAAAAGTTCTCAAGCAGAAATAAAAATAGTCTAGCAACATGTATTGAATAAAAAGTTCAGTCTGAAATCCCCCAATATGACAAGCACCAGAAGGTCAGAGAATACAACAACTAAAATGTTGTAATCATGGCAGTCAAGATGATGACACCAATTTGAATAAAAAAGTGCATACAAAGGTTAATGCAAACCTATAAATATCTTTACTCTATTATATTAAAGAGTATTTATTTATTATTTCAGATGTCATTTTCCAATATTTCAACAATTTTTTTTATCCATCATAACAAATATATCGTTTTCATTATAGTGTCATCAGCTAATGCAATTTCTGTGTTTGAATGTTACTAAGCAGAAGAAAAAAGCATCCTGTTTCTAATCTTATGATGTTTATAATTATTCCTCAGCTAAGAATAGTTATAAAATATACACTTTATAATAATTTAGTTTCTGAAAATTTCTCTTCAAAAATATGCTAATGCAATAACCCCTTTTTATCTTTTAATTCTAAAATATCATTTTTTATTTTTTATAATTTTGGACATATTTTGGCTTATTAACTCTAAAGTAAATATACAAATAATGAAACAGAAAAACTAGAACTTTTTTTAGAGAACACTTAACTAGTGCAATTGAATCAATACTTAACTGCTTATGCATATATTGTCATTTTATATATATATATATATATATATATATATATATATATATATATATATATATATATATGATAATATAATTTCTTTGAAAATCATAACATAAACATGTTATAAAATCACTAAAAAAATAGCCATTTTGTTTCAACACTTCTGATGTCTTATCAAGTGATGGTGTTGAATGATTTGCTTTATTTTATAATTATTTCCTTACAGAAAAGCCTAAAAATTCTACAGAAATTTTAAGATAATTAAGATAGTATTATATAAAGTTTGAATATAAATTTGATAAATTTAGCTTATTTTAAATTTATAAAGAAATATGGTTAATAGTCACTGTTTTAACTGGCTTAAATATAAAGATGTTTTAAATACAATGTTTATTAAGCTTAGTATGGCACAAAATAAAATCTAATAAGAATCAAACTCACTTTGAAAGTATTGATCTGGGAGACTAGCTTGATAATCATTACTTTATGGCAATGCATCTAGGCAATATATTCCTATTAATACTAAAAACAATAAATTGTTCAATATGCAAACTGTACTGAGTGGAATAATAAATATGAATTTGTTTTCTTTTAAGTTGAAAAGTGAATTTGCTTTGGATATAGTTAATTTATAAATTATATTATACCTACAAAACATTGATGAAAATAATAATAGTACTACTACTGTTACTTGCATTAACATTCTTTTTTGCTGAAAAAATATAAAATTTTCTTTTCTTTTATCATATTAAATACATTTGCAAAACCTTTTGTTAAAAATGTTACTGTAAAGTTTGTGTTAGAAATCTTACTGTATACATACTTCACATTTTAATCAGTGGTGTCAAACCTCCTGCTTTAAACCTGACCTAACTGACCTGAAGTAATTTATTAAGACAAATTTAATAAAAAATATCAAAAATTACTGTATTATTAACAAAAAAAAGTTCAATGAGTTTTTAATTTGTACTTAAGTGATAATCTGAAATGAGATATGCTTTATATGCCCAGTTATTCTGCTGATATATTTCTTTCACTCAACAACTTAAGAAATACCAGTATTTTTTTAAATTTTTTTTAAAATCATTACTATACATTAGAACAAATTTACAGTAAACTATTGGTGTTTTTACATTAATTACTTTTGGGGTTTTTTTTCCCTTTCAGAACAAACAAATCCAACAAGAATCAAATATGTAAGTAACACTGGATAAGTGTTTGTGTTAGAAACATAAACTCAGTAGTCCACCTTTTTGTTTTAAAATGTTGAGTTTGCAAAAGAATAGATATGAATAAATAGAAGTATCATAAATCTATGAAGAGATGCCAGTGCACCAAATATCAGCCAGATATCAAACATTTTTGTTTAAATTTTCTTATATTGCATTTAACTTAAAAAAGATGAAAAGGTGTTGGTGAAAAAAGGTGTTATTCAGGTACTGCCTGAGGCAATTAAATTCACATAATTCTTATTTTCAGATTTATAGGCACAAATTGTTCCAATTTTATGTTTCATTTACAATTAAAAACATTTTCTAGAGAATAATTTCTCAGTCAAGCTGAAAACTTTTCATTACTTCCTTGTTTGTTTCTACACAAACAGATGTATGAAGCTTATAGCCATATCCTGTAGAAACTACCAGTTCCTGTATGAACACCAAAATTAAGCAATATCAAGTCTGATCAGTACCTACATGGGTGACTATTTGGGAATACCAGGTGCTGCAATCTTGGATGTGCGGATGGTGTAATTGATAATGGCTTTGAATTGTTAATCGAAGAGCCAAGTCCCAATTCCAGTTGGGTTCATTATATTCACTTACACATAAATACCCTTAGGAAAGGTATGAATCCACCTCTTCTTGCCCCAGCTATAGGTTAATTAATAATGATTTAGTGATACAAGTCTTATTATCTCTCCCCCCCCAAAAAAAAAATTTTTACAATCTAATTTTACAAATATTTTCTGGCTTTAAATAACCCATAAGGATAAAAAAAAACAACAACAAAAAAAAAATAACAGATATATGATTGGCTTGATGAGCCCAAATTCCAGCCAAATCTATTGCATTTATTTATTTTATTGCCACAGCAATCTAAACACTTGCATTGGTAAAGGCTGGAGTGTTATCGAAAAGTTATCTCTAATGTGGAGGTCTGGCTTCCAGCCATAAAAAGAGACTCTTTCAAGCAACTGTTACTTTTATTCTATTGTATTGCTGCTCAGTATGGACCTTTACCATAAAACTGGAAAGAAGATTGGATGGTGCTTAGACTCACATGCTGTGTCTTTGAATGTCACTCGGAGGGATCATCTGACCAATGAATGATTGTATGGGGATCTTTGCCCAGTATCAGACTTCATCAAAGAGTGTTGAGTCAGATAGACAGGGCATTGCTGGAGAGCTAAAGAGGAAATTGTTAATAAAGTTCTTTTGTGGTAGCCTACACAAGGAAAAGCTAGCAAAGGACGACATATATCGAGCAGATTTGTGACTATATAAAATGCAATCCTTCTGACCTGCCCAATATAATGTACAACAGACTTGGATGGCAGCAGTGTCATGGGAATCTGTGCAAGCAAATGCTACTGGATAAGGATATTGTTCACTATTATATAAAGGAAAGATTAATTGAAAATAAGGTTCCTTACTTGTTGGAGGAGTGATTTTGAGAGTTGTGCAATGTGTGAGAGACTCTCTGGGGTGCTTGATTATATATCTATCTTTGTTATGCAGCTTGTTCCCACACTTGCAAAAATGGGTGCAGTTGTGAGGTCATGTGATTTTGCATTTAGCAACTAGAAGGTCAATTCAGTTTAACTCTGTACCGGGTTCTCTTGATAGTCTGGTGTGATATTGAATACAAACTCTATTATGGCATGACACAACACTATAGAATAAGAAGTAAATCATGTTTGGTTGTATGATTAGCTTATTTCAAGATGAAGAAGTAAACACCAAAGTTATTTCACTGAGTAATGTCATGTCATTTCATACACTTATTAAAATTTATGTTAAAACTGTTATATGTGGATAAAAACTTGATCAGTTCTTCAGCAATATTAATGGCTGTTTCTGTCATGAGTTATGGTTCTTTCTTTGCAGACAAAAGCCAAAGAAATCTGTTACTCAACTTCTCAAAGACATTGGTGTTAAAGATGATGAATCTCAGAATAATGAAAACATTGAAGCAAATGCAAAAGGGTAAATTAATTTTTGAATAAAGAATTTTTTTCTTTGATAGAATAAAAAAAAAGATAGTGCTTAAGAGTTTGAAAAATACAATTTATGCCTTTTGCCTTTTTTTTAATTTTTTCCTTTTATTTATCTTTAAATGACAGTAAATGAATATCAAACCCGTGAACAGATTATTTACTTTTCAGTCCTATTAACAAATAACTTCTGGCTAATGCTAAAAAAATTTTTAAGGAACGTAAATATTAATACCTTGAGTATAGTCAGCATTCAGTGTTGATTCCTATCAATTTCATGCTTCAGTAGTTTAATATTTATATTATGAACATTTAATATTCTTGAATTCATTATTATTAATTTATATCTAAAAAAAAAAAAAGAAAAATACCAAGATTACTAACTCGATCAAATATTTTCATATATGTTAAACTATTACTTTTTGATAAGTTAGAAGTCATGGTCAAAATGCAAAATAAATAACACAACTGTCCAATGAACAGAATTAATAAAGTTTGCAATAAAGAGAAAAAAGGGCAAAAATTGAAATAGTATCAAGCAATTAAAGAATATATGCTAAGCAAATCGACAGGTAAGAAAGTAAAAAAAGTTTATAAACTATGAGTTGCTGTTTGCACACAGAAGCAAGATCAGACAAGCGAATGCAGTGGGTGTTCGAGATAAGGCAGATCTGGACCAAGTCAAATCGAATTGTAAACCAACCTATTTTATTGACTAAGAAAAATATTCCAGCATGCATTTTGTAGACTTTTGCCTATAAAAGGGGAGGGGAAAAGTTTTGCAGTCATCCCCATTAGAGATTGGAAATCAACACTTTTTTCTCTTTTCTAACTTCACTTCTTTGTGCATTTCAGAGATGGAGAGATTTATAGGAATAAAGAGCCAATTGAAAAAGTAAGACCCATTCATTGTCATATGATTGTTAATTATTCTCTATAAAAAGAAATATAACCTTTATTAACAGGAAAAATAGTATTGACAAACTAAGCTTGAATATCAGTCAATTCTCTTTATATTTGTTTAGCATTAATTCTTTCAGGAAAAGATATGGAATCACATCTTTGTATTCCGTCCCATCACCAAATATCTTAGCATGATATCTCATCATTGACATAGCAAGACAGATGATGGAGAAAAATGAATGAGTGATTACTAATGCAAACCACACTACCATAACTACTTAACATCCAGGAAGTTGTAACTGTACAACCACTGTTAATGTTGACAGAAGTCATTCTCAAAATAAATCCTCTTGAAGATAGCTGCAGTGTTTCCAAAATTTACTTTAAAAAGGTTCCCCAAATTTTGATTGAGTTTTTATGCTTATGCATTTCTATTTGTTTTTCTCTTTTACCTCATTTGAATGTAATTTCAGTGATCTTTACTCCAATAAATTTGCATGAAATCTGACTTAAATGCAGTACTATTAGTCATTACAAGTTGTTATAAAATTTGTAATGACAAAATATATATTTTTGTATCTAAAAAAAAAAAAATAGATCTTGAATAAAATCCTTTTCAATGCTATTGTTTGAGATCAAGATGTGTGTGAGGCAGACATTTAGATTTCACACAGTACATTCTACTATACTGTCTTTAATTTTATCTGTGGCAAAAAAATTACATGGATTTTCCCCACCACTGAATATTCATTATTTATAAAAAGAAGTACATTATTTATAAAATCATGCAAAATGTATTTTTTTAAATTATTAATATAGTGTATAATTCATGAAAAAAAATTAGTTAATATCTAATGCAGAAATGTTTTGATAATAAAAATGTATAAAAAAAATACATGTGAAAATTATCTACCCTGTAAAATCTATCTTATATTTTTAATATTGGAAATAATTCAACTTTCTAAGAATAATTATTAGACCTGAATTATTTCAGAATCTGTTTGCAAAATTTCTTGGTAAACCAAACAGTTTTTTTTTCTTTTTTTTCTTTTTGTTCCTAATATTATTTCTAAACAAAACTATTAACATTTATGAAAACTTTTCAAAAAGGATCTGTTTAACTTATTAGAATAAGCAAAAAGAATTTGTTCAAAATATAGATTGATACATAAATATACTACTTAGAGAATGATTACCCACAATTGTTAACTTAGGAAGTTTAATCTTGTCTCTTTCAAACAGAAACCAGAAGATTCATCTGCAACATCAGCAGACGATGCTGGCCCCAGCCGCTCTCGCTGGAGTCAGAAGGAAAGTATTCATTTGGAAGATCTTCCACTTCAAGATACACTTGCAGGTAAAAGATAAGCATCTTTTCAGAGACTCCAGTTCATTATAACATCTGCATTTGGATTGTTGTATATTGGTTTAGAATAATTGAGAATAAATGATGAAACATTTTGATGATGGACAAATGTTAGCATTTGTATTTAGATGTTTAGTGTATGCGTTATGCTTATGGGTACATGTGAATGTAAGGTAACCTTTAGAAAATCTATTAGACTAGACTGTTTTCTGCATGACCAGGGACAATGAATCTTAGGCCCACCTTACAATATGTGGCCCACTTCTCCCAGCCTAGTAAGTTTTGATAAGGCAACTAAACAAGATTATTTGGATGATTGTGAAATGGCATACATTAAGCAACTCCTTTTATATTTTAGTACAATTTGTTACATTTCTTTGATGTTTGTCTGTTTTCTACAGTATATACAGTATTTTTTCTCTACATTTTAGATTCTGTTGAAAGGACATCAGCTATTCAGTCTCGACAAAAATGGAAACCTTCTGGAGACTCTTTAATAAATGTGCTACAGAATAAATCCTTATTACTGCCAACTTTAGCCACCACTCGTAAGCTTTTATTAAATTATTCATTTATTATTTTTATAATTTTTTTCTTTTCTTGTTTTGACCTGCATGTCAGTCATCTTTTAGTTTTATTTGTTTGATTGTTTTTGTTAGTCTTAAGTTTTTATAGAATATTCAATTTATAGAAATGGTTAGATTATTTCAAAGAATTTTAAATAACAAATTTAATTAATTTACGAAAACAATTGACCATGTGATATTTCTTAATTCATGCTTTCTCTAGTGTAATTAAAAAAAATAAATAAAATAGCATCTTATTTTATTTTTACTTTGTCACTAAGATACTTTTATTTAATTATGCCTATATTAAACACAGCAACATCAAATAATGATATTTCCATGGGAAACAGTATCTTCCAAAATGGGCATTTCTATGCATAAGATTTTTGTTTTATTTATTTACTTTAGAACAACATCAAAATTATTATTAATTTTTGGTATTTCTTAAACCTTATTTCTGTTACTTTTTAATCGCAACTCCCAAACTGTCATTCTGCAACTGTTAATCAAGTACTGAAGAGTATCAAAATAAGCCTCCAGAAAATTTTGAGCAAAGTGGTGCAAGTTTAAATCTTGATTGAAGTTTATTCTTTATTCCCAGTTGACTTTGTCGTTCTACAATCTGAGAGTTACAATAAAAACATCAGAAATTAAGATGGTATGCCTGTAAAAAAAGAAATAATAATTAACACTACTTCATCCCTAAAATTCAAATACCATTAGATCTATTATGACTAATGGATGAATGCAAACATCTGATATTGGTGTAAAATATAAACATACAAGATGGCAGTATATAGCATTCAAATATTGAGCTAGATTGTTAAATCCGGTCATCTTTTCTAGCCTAATCAGTAAGGAACTGACACATTAAAACAGACTTCCAAGGCTAACAGAAATCTTACTGGAAATTTATTCCTTATTTCCAGCCCATGCTACTTATTTAATGATTATAGAATGATCTGGTAGTTGTGATAAAAGTCAACAAAAATAAGATAAAAAAAATTACTCATCAAAAATTAGTAACTTACAATGATTCATATAATTTGAACACTAATAAAACTAAGGATTTTTTGTTCTTTTGCATCTGATAGCAAAATATTTAAGTCACATTCATATATCTTATGAAATATTTTTATTATCCCAATATATTTTTTCAGTAAAAAATTACATAATAAAGTTCATCTTAATGAAAAATAACAAAATTGGAAGTTTCAAAATAGTTATTTCTTTACAGCAAATATTTATAGTATTATCTCTGTTAATAAAAAGGTAATGCTGGAATTAATTTGAAACTTTAGAATTTATTTAATCTTAATTTGCTTTCTAACATTGCTTTCACCATAGAGTTTTAGTAGTTGCAGTGAAATGTAGCTGAATTTAAGATAAAGGGGCTTCTATTCAAAAATTAATAATTGTCAACAATGCTTCATCTAATAATTTCCTGTTTGTATTTGTCTAAAATATAATCTGTGGCAAATGCTAGTTTAGAAAGCAAGCATAAAAATATTGATATTTTTTATTATCATGTTTTATTATAGAACATTCATTTTTTTCTCTCTCTCTCTCTCAATCTATATATAAACACACATGCATACTGATGTTTTTATATAGATATTATTTTTGAAAATTACATTTAAAAGTATTTTATTTGCAAAAATAGTTTTGGCATTAATTTTTTTTTCAATTGTCATGTTAACATATAGCTATAAGTTAGGATAAATAAAATGCTTTTATCAATAAGATAAACAGAATGGTGGGTGATCACATTTATACAGATGTACTCAAATTAAAATAAGTCTTGAGTACATCCCTTGGGAGACTGTTTTTAGAGTAATTATGTCAGACATGCAATTAAATTGCTTTTGGAATTATCTTTGACAAAATGGTTCCAAATGATTTTCAATATAACAACAATAATAATAATGAAGCTGCATCCAAGAATATTTTCTGATATTGCTGGTTACTAACAACAAAGTACACTAACTCGAACAGTAAATTAACCTAATAACCAACTGCATACAAATATCACATTTTTAACCTTTTTTCAGCTGAGGTGAAAGAATTAAATCCTAACCAGGTTCCTCCTAGCCAGTCCACAGAAATGGCTAAGGATGATAATTTAGAAAGCAACAAGACTGTGGATATTGATAACAAACCAGAAGACACAAGCCAGTCCAATATTAATAATAACACTGGATTAAGTGTGGTACAAGAGGAAGAACCTGAGCCTTCAGATGACCTTCCCCAGGCACAAAGCTTCTGGGTTTCATGTGAGGAGACTCAGGACAAAGAAAACAAAGCTAAATCAGTCTCAAAGCAAGTGGACACTAATCTGGATAAAGTTGGAATATGTGATGACAATCATAAACAGAATGTGCCAGCCATGAAGATTTGGGCCCATAGCCCAAAGATAATAAATGAAGGAACCTTTGTTCTTGGTCAGTCACCAGAGAATGTTCCAAAAGGTAATATTTAGGATCAAGCTTTGCTTTTTCAACTTTTTCCTCTCAACTCTGACTTACATTTAAATAATAAAGTATGCTTTCTTTACTCATTTCTCCTTATCTATACTATGTCAGATTTTATTATGCAAGTTAGTGGTTTCACAATAAAATTGTTATTAAGTAAGTAATGTGGGTAGAACTTTCAAGATATATGAGCAATATATCAGGCAAATTTCAGTTTATAATATTTGTCCTTATTAAGAATATTATCATTAACTTACTTGAGGGGATTCAAGTTTTATTATGCAAACTAAATGCAGTATAAATTATTACTTATAAATAAATCCAAACGATATAAGCCAGGGAAACATATGATTGATTCACACAATATCCCATATACATGAATAAAGTATTATTTTATTACTTGACATGTTAATATGGACTTCTTGACATTCTATAATCAGTTTTACATACATTGATTTTGTAAACTTTTCAACTTTAACATTATTACCGCAGATTTTATTGCTTCCCAGCAATATTCTAGAGAACATTCAGTTTTGAAAACTATGGGGGGGGGGGGGGTCAAAGAGGGCAATAGTTAAAGAAGCTTTGTTTTGCTTTAGCTTAAAGCTTCTTGGTTATGAACTGTACAACTGAAGACATCAATTGTTATGTTAATATATAGTTACAAACATTATTTTAAGTTCTGTTGGGATAACTAAAAATGGTTTTATTTATAAGATAAACAGAATGGTCAGTGATCATACTTATAAAGATATACCCAAGAATTATTTACTGCCTATTATGCTAGCCCCCAAAAATAGGCCATTTCACCCCTATTGTCTTTGAAGTCATATTAGTTTACTATTTTCATGAAGAACCCACCTCCAGTCCAGCCAATGTAGCTCTACATTCATCATTACAAATTATTGTTGAGAAATCAGTTTTTATGTACTACTTCTTTTCTTTGTAATGTTTACTTAAAGGTGTTAATTTGGTTGTTTTCATGATTTTCCAATGTTCTTAATTTACTGCATGTTTTGATTTGTGATATCAGCTTCTACAAATATTTTATTCTGGGTTAGTCCACTTTAATTTGTTTATATTGTTTTTTTTTTTTTTTTTTTTCAAATCTCTTTCTGTGACATTCCTAAAGCCAGTTTTTATTCTCATTCTTATCTTACCAGTGTTTTCAATTTCTTTTTTGATCATTCTCTGATCTATATTCAATGTTTTTGCAATTTCCAACCTGTATTCACTTCACTCAATAACTTTACCACCCCTTGTCTCTATTTTGAGGCTACACCTTTCTTATGATCCATGACAATCTTTAGATATCTGAAATTAAAGAATAAACATCAATAACTACACTAATATATTTATGAACAACACTAGGGTTACATACAAAATCCCATGCAACCAAATAAGTTATTGTAAATAATTCTAATAAAAATAGATATCATAAGCTGGAATTTACGTGATATATTTATCCTATGAATTTAACCAACAACATTTGGTTAATCCCGATTGTGTTATGGTCCAAAGGTTAGGACCATGGAAGAACAACACAAAACACAACAGTAGAAATAACAAAGAATATATTACACAAGAAATAATACAAGAAGTGAAAAGGTTAGTAAGACTGTACAACTGGTTTGGCGTGACTGCTATCAGCTTGACTCGATTCACTACCGTCCCAATACCAAATCCATACTAATACTGTTCTAATACTCCTGATACTGTTCGTCTCTCTTGAGAGGCGTAGTATATATATCCTTCAGAAGAGTTCATTCTGTCGGTCTAGGTAGGCACCATGACAGATTGTAACAGTCATCTCTTTATCACTGCTTATAATCAATGTAAGCATGTCATTTAAGATGCAAAGTCTCTATTCACTGATAGAATGTGACACCATATAGCCTCTCACAAGTTTGGTTCTAGAGATTACTAGAATATTTCTGCCTAATTTCCCCTTTGTGTCTTCTTGAGATCACATTTTTTCACTGACATTTGATAAAAATCAACAAAAATAAAATGAAAGATAGAGGGGTAATTATATTGAATCATTACTAAGTCGACTGCTCGGAAAATTAGTTCACTGTGTTGTACCAGACAATTCTTCTCATCAGAATCCTACTTCCATATTTATAAATCTACCATTTGTCTGTGCATTGAATAATGCTACCATATCTGGTCTGGTGTTCTTACTATATATCTCAAAGTCCTTGAAAAAAATTAAAAAAAAGGGTCTGTAATGTAATCTATCCTGACCTGCCATCTCAACTTCAGTCACTTTCTCCCTGACATGACATGGCTTCCCTCTGACTTTTCTACAAATATGTAATCATTCTACTAGATTGGCAACTTGGTCTCACTGTTTTACTTTTGAACTAACTAGATACTTCTTGCCTTCTCATTTTTGTTTCCTTGCTCCCTAAAATCTTCAAAATTTTAAATGCAACATCAGTTGCCATATTCTGTCTTCCTGAAACCAGTTCCTTTATTATCCTTTTCCTCACTTCTCTCTAAAGTCTTCTCATTCTCTTTCATTCCCTGTAACCTCCTACACCTTAGTGGAATTATTGCCTTGCTTGGAGTGAAAAATTTTAAAAAACAAAATACCAGTTTGATTGTAAAAACATTGGCTGACATAATAGAATCTTGCATTGTGTATCATGGTTGCAATACTTATAAACTGTTCAACAGTACTTGTGTGTGTGTATATATATATATATATATATATATATATATATATATATATATATATATATATATATATATATATACTACCAGTTTAAAGTATTTAACTTTTACCCTCAAAAACTTTTATTTCTCGTCCTAAAAGTGTTATTTTCAATGAAACAAGTTAAGGAACACTATGGTTTTATTTATTATACTAAATACAAGTCTTCCTGAGCCACATTAAATACAAATTAACCCAAAAATCACAAAATCTTCAAAAAGTTTTGATTCATCAAAATGACTACCTTTGGCTGCTATCACTACTTCACAGATTCTCAGCATACTTTCCGCCAAAGACTGGAGGTAGACTGAAGATAGTTCTGTCCAGCTTTTCTGCAAGAGTTGCCAGAGGTGAGCCACACTTGTAGGTTGTTTTGTTCTGTCTTTTCAGTCAAGTTCATCCCACACCAGTTCAATGGGATTTAAGTCCACTTATTGTGTTAGTCAAGACATCAGTTGAAGGATGTGTTGTTCCTCTTTGCATTTAATGTACCTCTGGCAGAGTTTACTAGTATGTTTTGGGTCATTATCTTGCATGAGTACAAATTCTTGACCTACAATCTGCTTTCTAGATGGGATCCTGTGATGCTGCAGTATGCTGTGCAAATCCCCGACTTTGCAATTGGCAAAAGCCCCCCACACCTTAACAAAGCCTCCTCCATGCTTTATGGTTGGTGTGATACAGGAGGTTGCAGCTCTTTCCCCAACTCTTCACTGCATATAGACCCTCCTATTTAACCCAAAGATTTCAAACTTTGATTCATCAGTCCAAAAGACTTTATTCCACTGATCTATTGTCCAGTCTTTTTGTGCCTTGACCCACTGGAGCCTTTTGACATTGTTTTGATTGCCCAACAGTGGCTTCATGACAGCAATTCTCCCATATTGGCCAGTTTCACAGTCTTCTTGAAATTTTTCTGCTTGAATATCCTTATTTTTTTTAAAGTAATGATCTCTTGTCTTTGTTCAAGTGTAAGTTCATGTGTTTTGGGCATTTTATTGAAAAAAAAAAGTTTTGATCTGAAAGAAAGTTGCAAAATTTAGGTTTTAATTTAAGCAAAATAAGAATAACAGACTTCACTACTGGGCAAGGTACATTGGCAGCATAGGTAGAACAGGTAGTATCTAGCAAGCAGTAATTCAACACAATATAGTCTAATGTGAGTTCAAGTGGTGGTATAATGTAACTTTTGGAAAACATGTTATTCATGCTCAGTACTAAAGAAGAAAAATGCCTTCAAATCAATTTTTCAAAAGATATCTGATTATACTAAGGTCAAAGTTACTAAGGAAGACTTGTATTTAGTATAATAAATAAAAAATTGTAGTGCTTAACTTGTTTCATTAAAAATAATACAATAACATTTTTAGGATGAGAAATAAAAATTTTTAAGGGTGGCCAAATACTTTTGACTGGTAGTGTGTGTGTGTGTATATATATATATATATATATATATATATATATATATATATATATATATATATATATATATATATATATTCTGTTAGTGTCCTTGTTTGCTTAAGGATCATATAATTTAGGTGGCAAGTGTTTGTTTTATGTTGTTTAATTCTCTATAAAACAGTGTGCCTGAAGAGGAAATCACTTATCAACAGTAATTTCCAAAACCATGTTGTTGATGAAATAAGTTTAGCTTTGAAAAAGCTAAAAAAAAAAAAAGAAATTGGATAGACAGAATTTGTTGATACTATTCAGCCAGACATGTTTAAAAGAATTTTGCTGCATATATATATATATATATATATATATATATATATATATATATATATATAGTTGTGGACAGAACTATTCGGGATGAATAGTTCTGTCCATAATAACAAATAAAGCTGTAGTACCTTAAACTTTCATGGAAACTTCATGCACATTTTTTAACAAATGATGAAATAATGGGTTTAAAAGTGTGTGCAGTGAGGCCCACAACAAAATTTTTATTTTTATGTCAAACAATAATACAAAATAACACCAAAAAACATTTAACATAGGACAAAATTATTGGTCCACTTGCCTCAGTAATCAATTGTGTAGCCTTTATTCTTGATTATTGCCTTTAATGATTTTTGATAGCTCATTACAACACTCACACACTGATAGGTTTTGCTCCATTCTTCCTTGGCAATAGCTTCTAGTTCCTCCAAATTTGAAGGATTTATTTCTCTTATTTTTTTTCCTTCAAATATGCCCATAAATTTTCAATGGGATTTAGGTCAAAACTCTGTGCAGAATACAGTACACCAATATCTTAATTTTAGTGTCATCT